TATAGGCGTAGGGTGATGAAAGGGGTGATTTACCTATAAAAATCTACATTATTTACTTTGAATTTTGCAGAATTATTACAAAACCAATATTATCGCGAGCTGATTTATAAATACAGGGATTCCAATAAGTTCATTTAGTTCAGTTTCGTGCGTTACATTCGTTCGACCGTCGCGTGTCGTTTCGTTGCGTCACCCGGCCGCAACCAAAACCAGTTGCGAACGAGAACCGTTTCGAGGACTAGTTTTCGTTTAAGAAAAAACGGTTGCGTTTCGTCGTCAGAAAATTTGAGAACGACCCACCGCACCGCTAAGTACACCGCGCTATCACTTTGTCATCGTTGTTAAACTTTTTAAATATTTGTCGAAATGACATAGTGTAAAAAGCAAAGTTTATCGTCTTTAAATATCAAAAGCGATAAAAGTATTTGTTTTGATAAAAAATGATTTGTTAATACAAAATGTGCAGTTTGGAAATAGATATCAAATAATATTTTAGTTTTGATTCACTATTTTAGCGGTAATGACTTACACATTAAAAATAGATATATGGTGTCACGGACTTTTTTAGAACTATTTAAGAGATACATTTTCACTCTTCATTACATACATGTAACTTTTATTGTTTTTGCAGTGCAGGCCAAAATGGCTCGCAGATGGGAGATTTTTTTCCGTCTTATGTGACACTTATTGTTATATATTGGCCAATTCACTCAATAAGTACCTACATAAATTATTATATATATGTTAATTATCATATATGAGCTATATTACTGTTAAGTTTCAATAAAATCCATTCAGTATTTTTTAGGTGAAAGAGTAACAAAGATCCATACAAACGTAAGATTGAAATTAAAAGCGTAAGTGGTTAATATACAACTTTAAAGCGTTGTAGATCTTAAACAATCATACAAAATGAAAAATGGTGTTAGGAACCTAAACATGATTTTCGATTATCTAGACAGTGATACCCCACTCGATATATTTTGTCAACTTATTTTTTTTACTTCGTCACAATATGGCGCCTAATTTTATCCATATTGAATTTGATTACTATCATATCTTTCGTAGCACTCCCATGATTGAGACGAATCGATTGATGTATGAATCATCGAAATCGGTCCAGGCGTTTGGTCTCTAGTGTGCCACAAAGGAACAAACATACATATATAGACTGTTAAACACATAACCCTGTCTGCGCGTCGCGCTTCGCGCTCTTGCATTGCGCAGCCGGGTAAATTAGTAGCACTCCCATGATTGAGACGAATCGATTTATGTATGAATCATCGAAATCGGTCCAGGCGTTTGGTCTCTAGTGTGCCACAAAGGAACAAACATACATATATAGACTGTTAAACACATAACCCTGTCTGCGCGTCGCGCTTCGCGCTCTTGCATTGCGCAGCCGGGTAAATAAGTTCTTTTTTCTCTAAATAATATGGATACTATAAGAATAGCTGTGGTGTTGTACTTCTTGGGAGGCGCAACTCTAAAAAAAAACGGTTGATTATACTTTATGCTATATTTCATATAATTATTACAATAGAATAAACTTATCCGATCTTTCAATGTCTACGCCCGTTTTTAATCTGCCAACCATCGAATGGATTCAAAAGGTACTTGAATTCATATTTCAAAATAACTTATCATTTTTAATATGACTGCCAACGCACTCGACAAGTAAAGAGGCTGTAACGCTGCGGGAGTTACAGTACCTACAACATACACCAGCAAGGGGTCCATAGTGCCTTATGTACGACTGCTGTCCAAATACACCATTTACCATAAAATAATACTAAAACCTTTACCATAAAATAAAACTATTTAAAATTTAATCTTGAATAAAATATATGTATCTTAATTTTTATTCAAGATTAAATTTTACCTAAGATAGGCTATATAATTTGTCCAAATCGTCAGGTCTCGCTCTCTACTACCTGAAACAAGATTCTTGGAGTTGATAATTAGAACTTTAGTGCACGTTAAAGTTGTTTATAAGTGCAGCGACATGCGAAAATATAAAACAAATAACTATAAAACGAATATATTAACCCGTGAAAGTTATAAGTATGAAATATTAGCAGTAGGTACTTCTTTCTTAGTTATTTGTTGGAATGATTTTCCAAATAATTATTCAGGTTTTATATTCTTGAAGTCCTAAGATTAGCTTAAATTAATCAAAATTTAGCTGTTTAGTCGTAAAATAATTGGAGATTGGCAAACGGACACACAAATACTTACTTACTTATTAGTATTAATAACATCAGCGTATCTATAATTTGGTTTTTTTCAGAAAACTTATAAGGGAATAATAAATAAAACGATAGTGGCGTGTGAAACGGGTCGTTACGTTCCCTAAATAATAATATGTTCGCGCAAAGCGACGCCTAACTCATGAGTCATACTGTGAACGTTGATGGAAATATCAATTAAATGTTGTGCTAGGTTCCACTTTATTGTCAGGATATTTTTACATGAAAAAGAACAAACGGGAAACGTCATTGATTTCAAAGAAAAAAAAACTGTTGTAAAACCCTTTATTGAATTATATTAGCTTACACAGAATACTGGAATGTAATGGAAACTGCGTACTGCTCTACATTGATTCTCAGAAGTTTTCTTGCGTGCAAAGAGACAAGGGAAAAGCGGGTCGGTCACCTCACGACACTCATTTTCTTTTCTTGGCTTTTTACCACAATATGAGGTTAGCATATCAAGTTTAAATAATAACATTTGTGATTATCATCCATTCTTTTTATTGTTTTTTACTCTTTCATAGAAGACGAAATCAGTGTTTAAATTGTTTTTTGTATACATATGTTTTTCATTTGTTCAGTCGTCATTTGGTATAACATTTTGTCTAAAATTAATATACCTAGTGAGCACGGACCTGAAAAAAGAAGTGAGTAAGAGTTAACAAAAGTCAGATATAATCATTTCAGAGGTGGTCAAGATGAGTGATATCGCTAAAAAAGATCTCAGCAGAAGAATTTGAGCAGGTAATATCTGAATCTATTTTAATTGCTGATGAACACGTCTGTCAAACCGAATTCATTCAAACTAGTCGACCACGTCCCCGAAGAAGACATTTTGATTATGAAGTTATAGATTAGCCCATCTTAGATCCCAAACGGAATTTCAAAGTAATTTTTTATAATTCTTTACTTGACACGGTAATAGTAAAATTAAACGAGCGATTCGAATTATTTACAGAACACAATAGCATTTTCTGCATAACGTTGAGTCAAATATTGAACAAAAAAAAGCATAATTTCTCAACTTTCAGTAAAAACTTACTTGAGGACTGAGCTCTGACAAAGATGTGGAAGATCTATTCCATAAGTTGGAATTACTGCCAATATTTTGTATAAATGACGAAACAACTCCTTTGAATGTTTTAAAGTATATTTGTTCAAATAATTTATGTCCATTTTCACAAATCTTGAAACGTCTTTACGCATACATATATTTGACTCTTCTGGTGACAGTAGCTGAAGGCGAAAGGTCTTTTTTAAAACTGAAATTAATAAAAACTTACCTTCGATCAACTATGACCCAACACATACTAACGATATACATATACGATATATATACACATACACATATACATACAGACGTATGTTTCCTTATTTATGTGATTTATTTCTTCTTTATTTTTGTAGCAGTCTATACAATGAAAAATTAATTTGTCAATTATTTTGAAAAAGGGGCGCATTGACGACCTTCTTGGCGGATTGGTTTGTACGCCGGGTTTCATGGTTTCGCCGACTCGAGAGGTCCCAGATTCAAATCCCGGTGGGGACAGATGTTTGTGTGATGAATACGAGCATTTTTACTCCAGTCATGGATGTTTCATATGTATTTCTATATAAATATACTTATATATGTACAGTATATGTATTCTATCCGTTACCCTAGTATCCCATAACACAAGCCTTACAGTGCTTACTATGGGGCTATGCTAATTGGTGTGAGTGTTGGAAATATTTATTTATTATTGTTTGCTTACAAGATGGCAAAAAGTTATCGAACAAAATGGCACATACATACTTTACTTAAATTAAAAAATGTTTTGTATTTTCATATAAAATACGAAGAAGCTTTTACTTAATACGTATAAATGAATAAGTTTTTTTATTTTTTTATATTTCGTTCATTTCGCACCCTATTTCAAAATATAATTAAATAAAATCCCAATTGGCTGATTTAACTACGATATTTTTTTATACGACTACACAGTATATCCTGGGAAACCTTCAGATCTAACACGTTTAAAACTGCGTTATGCTATCTAATAAACCACTAGTAAAACCGGTTAAGGCGAGATTATTTTAATTTTAAATAATTATAGTCTAGGAATGTAACAGATAAATATTATGAGACAGTTAAGCTGAGGTTACGGTGTAAGTAATGGTCCATAATGTCAATCATCATGGGTTGTGCTATGTTAATCTAAATCTGTTATTAGATTTAATACATAAAATTCTCGCGTCTACTCTACTACTCCGAAACGGCTCGACCGATTTTCGTGAAATTTTATATGCAAATTTAGTAGGTCTGAGAATCGGACAACATCTATTTTTCATCCCCCTAAATGTTAAGGGTGGTTCACCCTAAATTTTTTTCTTTATGAACAAAATTTTCTGTTTTTATTTTTTTATGATACATCATGCAAAAATACATACATACAACCCTAAATTTTCACCCTTCTACCAGCAACCCCTATTTTTTATGGCGGTACGAAGTTCGCTGGGACAGCTAGTAATAATGTAATAGGTACATAATATCCATTGATATTTTTATACTATACCCGTGATATTACAATATCACACAGCGGCCATATTTGTTCTTATGTCACTCCTTTTGGCTTAACGTACCTTTCGAAGTACGGTGGAGCTCGAGATAATAAATTTTTGGTCAGTCATCTTAATCATCATCGTAGTGCTTAATTTCCAAGATCGTACACCGTATGCATAATATGCTCTTGTGTTTTATAATCCCAGGTGCGGCATGGAGGCGGTGTGCGAACGCGGCGACAGCGCGTGTGATGTACACGCGCTGGCCGCCGCGCTGCACTCGCTACATCTGTACTGCGCCACCATCTCCACTGCGCTCATCTGCTGCTGCGCACCGCGGCCTGCGCGCTCTGAATGGTCAGTTCGACACCTAAAGTCCATAGCCTTAAGATACCCTTTTTTTTTTTTATGTTGGGAAAATGCGTTATGCATACCCCGCCGGTATGTGGCGGGGTTATGTGGGACTCCTCCTCCCCCCAAATCCCGCCCACCCGCCCAGCCAGGCTGGCTCGGCGGCTGTTCGGGATGAGGGGGGGGGCTACCCACTAAAAACCCAACAGTGCTCCCTCGTCTGCCGGAACGGGTTTTGTGGGATCCGGGTGACGCTCCACGTTACCCGGCAGAGGTTCCTCCTCCTCCTGATGGTCAGGGGGATGCCCTGGAGCACCTAGGCATCCTCCCTCGACGGGTGAGACTGCGCAATGCGAGCGACCGACTACCCTGTCCGCCGCCCGCAGTCCCACTAGGAGCCTTAAGATACCCTAGATATCCTCATGCTACTTCCAAACATTTTTTACCCATGACGGAAAAAGCAGATATTATAAATAACCCACATAAAAGGGAATTATTGTGTTTTAAATAGATTATTTTTCTAAATATAGAAAGACTGGAGCCCAAGATAGTTCGGTATTTTCTCAAACCTAACTTCAAAAGCTATTCACGAACCTAAATGTTATATTTTAGCTAGTTGTAACAAAACAAGGATGATGTCATTGTTCAGAGCTTCAACGCTATTCAAATTTTATTTATTAGCATGTTTTCATATAAGAGGCAATAGAATTTTATAGCGGGTATATGCCTACTTACGTAGCGGGTATGCCTACTTACCCATATTTGTCTGTGAGTGTGGTCTCGGTTCTTAATATTTTACATTCGCGGTCCAAACTAACACCTACTTACTTTAAACCATTGAATAAACATATTTACACTTCAGTTAGGGTAGATAGATTATTCTTTAAGAGTTTGAGCATGACTATTTAATATATTTAAACATGAAAAATGTATCTTCTTCTTCATCATCATATTTTTTCAATGACAATTTAGCACCTTTTTTTAAGGAATACCTTACCAAGTGCCAAATTCTGTGTTCATGTTTACAGGCTTTTAGAAATTAGAATAAAATAAGTGTATTAAAGTTTACCGTGTTAGTAATTTCTAAAGATCGTATGACAAGCATTTTTATACAAGACGCAGCAAATTACCATTTGGGTAGGACCTTATGTTAAATGTAAGTGAAAACCAGTTGCGAAGATAGCTGGCGATACTAATCGTAATCGCAGGATCGGAAAGCGTTGGCGCGGGCAGACAGTAAGGGGGACAGCTAGCCTTGCGCTTGGAGCAGTGTGGTGCTGCAGCGCGGCTGCTGCGTCGCTGCGTCGTGGACGCACCGTTGCCCTGGTGTCAGCCACAATAGCGCCACTCGGATGGCTCGCCGCCGCTGCCCTTCACACGGCACTCTGGACCCGGCGCTCCGCAGCACCACTCCTTTACCTAGCCGTATACTGGTTGCTGTCGGCAACATCTGCTGCTGCCATCTTTTACCAAAGCATCACGACCAAAGCTTCCTCTGAACACGTGGATGTATTTATTCAGGGACTGTCGATGGTCCTATCTTTGATCATATCTGGAGTGGACTGCTTCTGTTTTTATGAAGAGGTGAGTTTACCTAGACATATCGAAATATAACAATATGATTTACATACTTAAAAAGTTTTTTTTTATAAATGAGTAGTATTGGTTCGCAGATGAACAATACAAAACACATAACTCATATAAGAGTTTCTCATCCATCGTCCGCTATCTTATTTATTTAACCAGGCTGTAGTCATATTTACAACATCGTTAATTCTGCATCGACCCTTAATGAATCACGTAACTTGTTCGTAGCGAAGTAAATCTAATGGCCCATAACTAATACATTATTATAATATGTAAAGATACTTCCTTCGTTTGCGTTTTGCGGTTTTCCGTCAGTTTTAGTCCGATTAAACTCGAATTATATTAATGGAAAGTAGTGCATGATGAGCCGTATTCACGTATGAATATTCATATATTCATACAATGCGCCACGGCTTGTTGTTCATACGTAGCACGGGCGCCAGGCATGTCGAGCCATGCATACCGCACCGGTATGCCCGCGCAATTACCGCGAACCGCGACGCGCGACACACACCGTGCTTGGTTACCCTGGCTGCGTATAACAGTACTCGTACCTTAGTCGCGGGACTGACGGAAAAGTCGTAGACGCAGACGGGGCGCGAGGATAATATGTCTCTTGTACGTCATTTTCATACAAAACGTATAGAAGCATCAAGTAGCAAAACATATAGAAAATGTTGGGCGCTAACAAGACGCTTCTTAATTTTGTTTGAAACTGGCAATGTTCGCGCCCCATCTGTACTCTTTTTTGTGTGTCTCGCGCCTTAGCTCGCCTCTAGAATACCCTAGATCCACTTAAAGCCATTACAAAGATCCATTGATGGATCTTTTCACTTTTATGTCCACTTTAATTCTTCATCCAGGATTTTTTGCAAAATGCTGTTTTAACTTCCGGTAACGAGAAACCTGGAGTGGAGCTCGAATGAGCAAGTAGCTATTAGCGCGTTCGGTCTGTCTTAGTGTATGTCAAGCAGCTTTCGCAATGGTCGGTCATAATATGGAGTACTAAAAAAGGTATATTATTTCGAGCCTTTCCTCCGTGCTACGGAAGGCACGATAACCTACGGCATTTACAGTCAGTCGTAAGCACCCACCTATCCGCACTTGGCCTGCAAAGAGGGAACCACCAACCACATTTATTTATTCAGAACTGCATCAACTTTATCTCTTGCGGGTTGAATTTTCATGTGAAACATTATTGCGGAGGATGTGAATTGTAATATTTTGTAATATTGTAATTTGGTCAGAATTTGTAAGTTCCGTTTTTCAACTGCAGCAAAAATAGATTTCGGTTCGATCCCAGATATATTCTGATAGATTCTGAGCAATTTTCCCCACACCACCTGATGATTTTCCGAAAAAAGTAACAGCGTGCATGATAAGGAAGTTAAAAGCCCTCCATTAAATTACTTATTTGCCGGCCCCATATTTCTGTCTGCAGCACTAGTAAATATATGCGGAAGACGTTAATTTGTATGATTAACAGGTTCCTACGTATTTAAAAGTTGTAACAAAATCAACGGCGCGCCTCTTCGTGCTTGGCTGCGCGCGCCGGCGCCTCTAGCTAGCCCACGGAGTCATTGATGAGTGCAATATAGTACAATGCTCTTTTAAAACAAAACAACAGCTATGCGACACTCCGGTCTCCTATCAAATTTTCTAGCTAGAAATCGATGTAGGTAAAGGTAGACAGAAAGGAACCTGAACGTAGCCATAAAATTATTTTTATTGTCATTTTTAAAGCGTCATAATTCTCAATGTAGTTCGTAAGCACCTATGTGTGGTAATTGCAATTCTCTATTCTAATGAGAAAATTATTTTTAAACGTTTTTAAGTCACATGGGTTAAACAAACTTAATGAAAATGAAATATATAAGTATAATCACTGAATGCTTAAGTTTATCCCTGTTTAATGCTACTGCTTTTACTTTGCTGAATTAATTGACAAATTTAAAAGTATTTTATATTAACATTTCGTTTAATCAAGTTGTCTGTCACTCTCAATCTCAGCACGAAATTAATTATAAAATGTCATTTTATTTTCAAGTAGAGTAGGTATAAATAAAATGCATAAAAAGCTTCCCATAAAACGGTTACATTACAACAGAGGGCATCGTTTTACTTCTAAGCTAAATGACTTCCTACTGGGCACTATTATAGTAATCGGCGAGTGACCTAAAAGCTTAGCAGCGCTATCGAGTGTTCACTATTTTACACATTCTAGTGCAATATTAGGTACTTATGTGAAATAAGGACGCGGAAAAATATCTTACATTTCTTTAAGAACTGTCTGAGTAGTTTTTCTGAACCTTTTACCATCCTAGGCCTTATCGTCGCTTTCCATCAGGCGAGATTGTGGTCAAACGCCTTGCCTATTAAGCATTAATAAAAAACCTTCCGTTTTTTAACTAACATTTCTGTGCTAGCAAGCAGTGAAATTTTTGTACTAGCAACTTCAATCTAGAATATATAGCCACGATGAATAAAGAGTAAATAAAGAGTTTTACTAATATGCAAAGTTTTAATATAAATATATTTTATGTTTCCATCATAATAGTTCTTGTCGGTTGTAATAATAAATTTTAATAGTAGTTTTATTAAACGGATACAGTTCTGGCTTCGATTCACATTAGACTTACTTATATACATAATATGAATTTAGTAATATTACGTACGTGTACGTGCTCCGCGAACATAAAATTCACATAAATATCCATTAATAACAGGTCATTAGTAACTATGTCATCTAGGTCGGAAAGAAAAATTTAATAACGTCACCCGATACAAAGCGAACCTACATTTTATGTGTAGTATTTATAGTCATACATAGTCTTTTAATTACAAAAACAGTTGTTGAATTTGAAAGACACCGGAAAGCACGGATGCTCTCCGGTTTTTATCGGTCAATAATATGGGAATATTTTCGACCGATAAAAATGCGCCTATGGGGTTGAGGTCTAAAATAACGCGCCTATGGGCGATAGGCTAAAATCACTTGTTATGTGATTCTGTACCTAAAAGTTAACCACGGAATCTAATTATTAAGCTTTCGTTGTCATCCGTATCCGTCCGTCGGTCAGCGGGTTGTCCTCATGAATCATAATAGGTAAATTATCTATGCATTCTATTGCAGCTAATGTAACAACAAATAAATAAATAAAATAAAAAAGCCCATACATGAAAACGTTCGGTTCATTTTTGATCTTAACAATCGCTGTATTTCAAATAATATGACGTATGGAACCCTTCGTATACACGAGTCCCAGAAACGCTCGGCCGATGCTGGTTCAGCTGGCCTACTACAAAAGTAATTGTTTATCGAAGACAAAAGTAAAAAACGCCAATCGGAACGAGATTCGTCATTCAACTTTTTATATTTTAGAACTGTAATGTCAGAAACAAGGTTTAACTTGGACTTTAAGTTAATATCGATACAGAAATCATTGTTTACGTTGGTACACTCGCGGAGAGACCCGCTCTGTCACCCATAATCGCTTGCGGTAGCGGCGTAGTAAAAATTCATTCATAATTATCGCTGTCTTACTTTTTCGTATAGCGCTGTCGCGATCACGATGCGGATGACAAATTGCAACTAAAACAAATGCAATTGAATTCATTATTCAATCAATGAAATGCTCTCTGTCTTACTTTTGTGCGGCGGCCCGGATTGGCGCGTCCGATGCGAAGGCGAGGAGTAGTAAAAACTACTGTACAAAACCGTTCAAAGCATTTTGTTCGCCAAGTGACAGAGCGCAAAATTCCGCGATAGTACCTACCTACTTTATCAACAAATAATTTTATAAAGACGATTTAATAATATGCATATATTTAACAATAGATTATATAACAATTTACAAACTTAATACATCCATTTATCGATTCCGTATTAATCGCCCTAATCCTTCCTATTCCTACATTCGTTACAGGCATCAGACTGCACTTGCTGGTTATTTGTATAAGTGCAATCTGAAAACGACTTGTAATTGATAGAAATACTATTTATAGATAAAGTAATTGCCTAGTCGCTACTAGATTGAACGTATTATGAATGAAAACATCCTTTAGTAAGAAAGGATAAACTCTGTCAGCATTATCGTTAATCAGCTCTGCCGGGTGAGTCACTCGGGTGTCTGATGCTGACTCTATAAAACTTCTATACTACACATAATTATAAAACTTGAGCATCTATAGGTTTAGTGTCTTTTAGCTTTAGGGTTCAATCTTGATTCAATCATTCACGTTTTATTGTAGAGAAGCGAAATTATCGAAAAATCGCACGTCACAAACAAAAGGGTATTTATTATCTTCAAAAACAGTGTTATGAGATATCGCGTTTAGAAGTTTTAAAAAATATAGAAGCGGAACTACTTATTGAAATGTTTAAAATTATACCTTGATTTAAACGTACATTATCCTTCTTTGTGGTGAGTAAGTTTAGTTGGTGTATCAATAGCAGTTTTTATTTTAAAAGTACTTTTATGTGACTGGGTAAAGAGAATACCCTATAAGCAGTTCAAATGGCTCATGTTAAAATTAAAACTATTATAATTTTAAAATAATTTCGCTGAAAATAACTTATTAAATAAAATTGAACAGGCCAGAGGGTATTATTTTAAATAAAACGTATTAACTTAATACTGATTAGAATACTCACAATCATAAATTTTGCCTAGAAATTGACGACATGTGTTGATAAATCAAAAACTATTTCGAATTAAAATACAATTATCTTACCAGTTTATACAGAAAAAAATGTAGTTTTCGAAAGACAAATAAAAAAATAAATGGTTTTAGCGACTTAATACCCTATTGTTTGTGACGTGCGATATGTGTAATTTGTAGAACATAATAGTTTCGGAACACTATTCTTCCAATAAAATTGTTTTGATTTTTATTTCTATTAGAGTGTGAATTCATAGTACGAGAGCCCACGACCAAAATTTTTGTCTCATAGCAATACGGCCAAAACCGCATCAAATCGATAGATACGATTATCTTGAACTCGAAAATACCAATATCAGACATTTTCCGCGTAGCGTTTGATCTGACCGAATTTTCAAAATTTTCAAAGAATTTTACCGAACTGCATCATAGCAATATGTCTGATTTGCAGACTGTAGTTGAATGATAGTTCTGAGATACCGGAAACATATTTTTCAGACGTTAGTGGTGTAGCGCAAACCCGTAAAATCACTTAAAAAAATTAAAAATGAGACAAAAAAAATGTCTCATAGCAATACGTCTGAAAATCTTTTTTATTAGTAAATTTTGGTTATTTGATGCGAACAAAACAATTTTCAGACGGAAATGTGAACGCATTAAATTTTGAGACCGTTTTGAAAATGTTAACAAATTTTACCGATCGGTATCATAGCAATATGTCTGAAAATTGTTGGACATGATAAAATAAGTTGTCCACATGTGCAAAAAATTTATATCAGACAAATTAAGTGTAGCACGTTCTCTATCAGACAACTTTTCGATACTCAGATATCATTTAAAAATCGTATTGAGGCATCTTGAATTTTCTGTTACAAACCAATGAATACGTTGCGACCCTGAATTTATTAGATGATAATTAACAAAGGAGCGTAACAAGCGCTGAGGCTGTTGAAATTAAATACTGATTGATTTGATAGTTTTGGTTTTATTTAAAGCACACTTGAGTAACTATTACAAAAGAAATAAGTAATGACATCTGTCATCTGTCAAAGTACTTAAAATAGACAAGGGAGATTCTTGAATATCTATGAAGGCTGTAAATTTAAAAAAACATTTAACAGAGGCGTCGGCCAGGCGACTCCGAAACGTTATTTTCGTTTTTGGGAGTATTTGCTACACTTAAAGTGTCTGAAAACAGGTTTTTGGTAATCATGGCAGCAATACGAAAAGTTGAAAAAAAAATTATCCGTATTGCTATGAGGTGTATACAGGTCGGCTAAATTTGTTGACATTTTCAAAAATGCGCTCAGGCTATATGCTACGCGCAAAATGTCTGAAAACAAACTTTTTCGTAATACGATTATGAAATCTATGTACATTTTCACTATCAGACGAATTGCTATAATACCGACTGTCTTCTTTTTTTGACACAGCAGAAATGGCCTCCCACGCAGTTGCTACACTTTCGACCGTTACTACACACCTAGTCGGGTTCAGAATCATACAATCTAACGATTTTATAGGGTTTTTGCCATATTGCATTATTTTAGACATGGTTTTAGTCGAGGGCTCTCGTACTATCAGCATAAATATATCAGTTTAAAAATAATAAAAAAATTCGTGAAAAATTTAGCGACTAATAAAAAACGCGGCGACACAAAATCTTTCATTCCTTCTGAAAAATATGACTGTTATTCTCAGTTTTATAATATTGATCAGGAAGAAAATTGTATTGAAAATTATTACAAAGCCCTTTTAACGTCTTTACGGACCGATACATTAGCTCGATGGATTCTGATGACCCTATTCTACCAACCATCAAATTCTCTACATCATAACACAACCCGTCATAAACCTCTAATATTATGAACAAATAAAAAAATAAAAAATACCTTCACTAAAATTATTATTTATCAAATCGAAATTTTCAAGTAAGTATATTGAAGATCGCCATGTAGTCAACGACCTTCCATCCTGCGGCGGGTTGAAGACCTAACATACATTAGAGATTAAAAGCTCTGCAACCGAAACAAGGAGTAGTTTCCTACGACAAAAATTCGATGGGATGTCTCGACGCCCGCTGTCGGCCCGGCGCCAGATTATTTCAATTTGTAAACCTCTTAATGCCACAAAACAACTCATAAACAGAAACTCAACTACGCTAGAAGGAACACCTAAAGCTTATTAAAGTGGTTTAATAGTATATATTCATGCTGATAACTGCTTAGAATTTTATACCTAGGTACCTACTTAGGAAAATCTGATCCGAGCACAGACATAATGTGTATGTTTTTCGGGTGCCTAAAATATGCCAAAAGAGAGAGCAAAAGGTCTTTCTTTAACGCTATTTTATTTCATACCATTCTTGATATCGGTCGTCAAACGAAATTAAGAAAAAATCGTTGCATATTTAAAGGTTCCAATAACGATAGAATTGAAACGGGTGGCGGGGATCATGTTTTTCCATCAAAATATTCACGCCCGGTTTTATAAATAAGGTGCGATGAAATTACGGATGTGTTCAATGATTTTAAGTTTCATTTACATTGTGGTTTCTTAACGCCACACATTATTCTTTAATTTTTAAAAAAATCTGTTGAAAATCTAAAGAATAGTTTACTAGAAAAATTCCACGCGAGCCATGTAGCTGAAGGGACTCGAATCCGCACCCTTCGCTATCCGGGCGGATGCACTGACCATTATGCTACCGCGGACCTAATGGCCGTGTCGAATTTTCTCTGGTATTTCTTAGGCTACAAGGCAGCGCCATCTCTTCGCATTGTAGGTAACCCACAATGTCAAACGAAAACCTTTATAAGTATTAAACATTCGAAAGAAGAAATAGCAGTTATAGTTTTATTTTTTTAAGCATTTAACTGCTGGATGTTTAAATCTAAAAAAAATTTTACTAGAAAAAACTTTAGATTATAAAATTCTAGCAGTTAAATGCTTCAAAACAACAAATAATAACTATTGTTAATTTTACAAATGTATATCGCAAATTGTTCTTTAGTGACCAAATTAAATCAAATAAACTTTCGACGAATAATATCCGCTATTTTAATAAAAATATTTTTAATAATTATTTACAGGTGTCAAAACGACAACGCGCCCACCAGAAATCAACATCATCGAATCACAACGTGTTATATAAACATAACGACACACACTTCTACTCAAAAATAACATTTTTCTGGATAAATGTTCTGCTGTGGCGCGGCTATGAATCACCCATAGAGGAAGACGATTTAGGAGATTTGCCTGACGACGAGAAATCTAATATTTTTTACGAGAGATTTAAAAGAATATACAATTCCAATGAGAAGGTGGGTGGAGTAAAATGTAGTTTGTGTTAGATTTACTTGGGCTTGTATTCGGGAAAATAAAAAGTAATAAATTGTATGAACAAATTATCAGAAGAATATTTGTATCGCAAATTGAAGAAAAATATTCTTAGCGATAAAGGAGATAAAAAAGATCAGTGGCGCTACAAAAGTGGCAATATTTCTATTCTATCAAACATGATGATAAATGTTTAGTTATATGAGTATTTATTAGCGCGAAACTCATTGCATTTCTTTGAGTCGGTGGTCCTGATGGGGACATGAAATTAATAAATTATTTTGAGGTGGCATTCGGGTTCGAAATTGTGGTCCTAAATACGACCACAATTTAATAATTATTTAGAGTGATATATTGGGACCATAAATATGATCTAAGTCCCTATCTTCAATTTTAATGTCGGGAAAGTACAATCAAATAAAAACGGCTTTTATAATATTAAGATTTTTTTTTTAATATGGTATAAATCACACCTTTTATTTGAAAGTAAACCTAACTAACAAAATATTTGTGTTTATTACTACTAAATCTACATGACTGCACTCAAAATCAGATGATAATAAAAAATTGTACTATATATTTTTACGAATATACCATGTAAACTTTTTACATCTTTGTAGAAAATAGTTCTCATTACAGCAAAATATAACAATGAAAATTTTCACAATAAATTTCTCATTGCAGTGAGAATTATTGCTCAATAACTATATATAGATTCATTGAATCCATGTATAAGTACAATTCTTTCAATAATTTAAACTCAGGACCAGCATACTAAGGCTTAAAAATATACTACTCGGAACAAAAGGGGGCCCGCATCGTAAATAATCGTAATAATAAATATATTAGTTAGTTTTTATAATAATTACGAATTTTTAAATTCAATATTTTAATAACTCAATAGTTCAACCAATATTCAGACGTTACCATATCAAATGTTAATAGTTATTTATTATACAAGAGTGGAAAGTTCCTTTTTAACCGCGTGCTCGATTTGGATGACCGAGCAAGCGAAGGATTCTAAAGTTGAATCACGAGCGCAGCGAGTGATTCTAAATTAGAATCCTGAGCGTCAGCGAGGGAAACAAACGAGCACAAGGTGAAAAATCTTTCCACTCGAGTGCAATACGTAACTTTTCATCCCACCTCAGCGAGGAAATGACAAAATGAAAAAGAAAACAATTTATAATGACAAAATATTTTTATTTCAATTAAAACACATTAAGATAATCTATAAATTGAAGAAAATAATAAGAAGTAGAAAATAATTAAGAAATATTAAATGTAACGTTGCTACAGTTACTTATGTTAAGTTTAATATTTTTGTTAGGTAATGTTATGTTGGTGTTTGTGAATTGTGCGCTGTTTTGTGGTAAACTACTCGTATCAGTAATTTTAAATAGTTGTGCCGATTCATTGGATTCTATTGGCGTAAATGTTGGCGAGAGAGGGCTATTGTTTCCAATCTTATGGGGGCTCATTTTAGATGTAGAAGGGCGAGACCAAGAATCTGACAGAGGTTCTTTCAGCGTTATGGCCTCCACGATACTATTACAAATTTTTGATTTACTTTGGATTGAATCCTCTATGTATCCCTCTACAACCGAATTAGACTTCCAGCCTCCATGGCGCTTAAGCGATAGAAGATCAGCCCCTGATTCGGCCAAAAGTGTGGCTGAGGTTCTTCTAAAACAGTGACCGGTGTATAACGGGGGTTCTAAAAGTCCGAGAAAAGTTGCTATTTCTCGTGGAATACTGCCAATTTTATTCTGACCCATAGGTTGTCGGATACACTTTCCGTTGCGATATTGTAGAAAAAATCGTTCAATTGTGGTGTTAGAAGGACGTAAAGCTTGATATTTCTGAACAATGTTTACATATTCCTTGCGAATAACGAAGTTGCGGTCTTTTTTTGTCTTGGTATTTAGTACATTAATTAATAGCAATTCATCAGAATTATGAGAATATTTTGATACGTTATTGACATTAAGTAGTGTAAGTTCATTTGTTCGACATGCTCCGGTTATACCAATAATAAGAACAACCTGTAACAAAAGAAGTATTTATAATCGTAAATAAATTAATCAAATTAAAAATATTGTAAGTACTATGTACAATTTTATCAACAACAAAAAATTACACGTATTGACTTACTTTTGCCGCTAAATATACGGAATCAGGTGCTTCATTAATAAACTTTGCAATTTCAGATGCTGTGAACACCTTCGATTTTTTTGGTTTATAACCAGATGAGGCTCTTTTTAAAAATGCCACTAATTTATGATAGGTGTCGATATGAACGTCTTTCTTCATCTTAATTGTTAATTTTAGCATTGAATACGTACTCCATAGCGTGCTTGCTTTCTTGGTCTCAGATAATTCTATAAAATATGCCAGCAAAACGTTTTCGGAGAAAGTTTTTGCTCCTTTAGCTAGTCGCCACATGTTAAATATATCGTACTGTTTCAAATACTTCTCTCGTGATTGCTGAGGGAGAAGGCTCATTTGCGCATTATTAACTGTTTCAGTTAACTCAGTTGGCGTTAGATAAACTTCATCGTCGCTAATGTCACTCATTTTAGTTGATTTTTTTGTACAGTTTTTAGGTTATGTTAATTATATTAAGCAATAAAACGTGAAAAACTAGAATGGCGCGAAGCACGCAAATAAAACAAAGAAACCAAGAAGGTTCCAAATTTAAATTTTTTCACAATTTAAAAAGTTCTAATCATAAATTTGGCACCATAGAGGTTACATTAAATAGGTTTAATGACGTTTTGAATTTACAATTATATTGAGTACTCATTATATGTGATGTTCTAAATTCAAATCTACTTTGCCGCTCAAGCGAATAAAATAGAATTTTCCAGCCAGATTTCGAAGCGCAAAATTACACTTTCCGAGGTGGTGGGATGAAAAAGTATTTTTTGTTACTATTCACAAAATACCGTATTTGATAAAATAAAGATAAAATCAATACAACAAACAAAACATGCGAGAAGACGAGACAATTAGAAATAGGTTCAGTGTTTTCCCACTTATCCTATTTTTACATTTTAGGACACAAAATCAAGTATACGCCATCGCAGCATATGGCAGTGCTACATTCAAGCGATTTGGCCAAACTTTTACACAGCTGGTGTTATGAAACTTCTGGGGGATTTGATAAGCGTAGTGCCACCTCTTGGGTTGGCAGCCATTATCCAATACGTAGAAGGTCCTCAACAAGAATATAATGAAAACTCCGAGGTCACCATTCAGGAATTCCTTAGCAACGGTTACGCGATGTTGGTCGTCGTCACACTATCACTTGTCTTCCAAGCCCTACTGTCTCAGAATTCCACGCATTTAGTGACCTTAGAGGGAACAAGATTAAAAACAGGCTTACAGGTAAATAAGAACGAAGGAAATTATTGAAATTCTGAAGTACATTATGTAAATTGCCACTAGCTAATGTATGGATATAGAAGTGTGATTTTAAATTCAATTCTATAAAATATTATACATAAGAATGGCACTTTTATTCGAATTATTTGAACTTGTATGTACGTTAATTCTAACGAAAATTCAATTTTAATTGCCTAATACAAGTCGAACAAAACAGCTGGTTAATCAAACGTGATCATTAAATCTTGTCAAAGTATAAAATATTACAAAGAGGAATTTAGTAATTATGGACAAAGGTTACCGGTTTTTCATCAAATTATTATTTAAGGGTTTGCTGTACGACAAATGCATGCGCTTGGGACCGTGGTCTTCGGCAGACAATAATACTGAGGAAGAGTCCCCTCTTCTCCAGTCCCCTAAAGATAACGCCACCAGTCCCTCTGGCTTACTCACAAACCTTATGTCTCAGGACACATATAACATAATGTCCTGCGTTTGGATCTGTCATTACTTATGGGCCATACCACTAAAGGTAAGTTTTTCGTAAATAAAACATAAGATTTCTTTATAGAAAACAAGTAAAGTATATGTATTTATTTTAGGTATCAGTCATATTGTATTTACTCTTTACCAAACTCGGCATCAGCGCAATAATAGGTACAGCTGCCAGCGTACTCCTTATAACGCCATTACAGTTTTATATTGGCAAAAAGATATCTGATAATTCAAAAGACATTTCTAAATGTACGGATCACAGAATATCAAAAATGACGGAGATATTGCAAGGAATGAATGTTATAAAACTATATGTTTGGGAAGATCTTTTCAATGAGAAAATACTAAATTTGAGAGAAGTAGAACTAAAGTTATTGAACAAAGATTCAATATATTGGAGTTTTTTAAGTAAGTATATTTTGTACCTTTGTAAAATTACTATTAAAATACAGTACTCCGACGATTCGATAGGATTCTGATTAATGCCATTATTCCAGCGTTTACAACACAGGTTTCAACAATATTGGTCACAGTCATAACATTTTTTGTATATTATTTCCTTAACGACAGTAAAGGCTTAACTGCAGTTAATGTTTTTGCTGGATTAGCTCTATTCAATCAACTTACCATACCTCTACTTATCCTACCTGTGACAGTAATGATGGTGATCCAAGCTATGGTAAGTTAACCTAATAGTCTCCTGGAAAAAGAATAAATGGTTTGTTTCTCTTGACGCGACACTACCAGTAAATGAAGGGTTGTAACATTTTTAGGTAAGCACGAAGAGGATCAAAGAATTTTTGGAACTTCCCGAATCCAATAACGTAAGAGAAGACGACAATGATGAACATAACAAATCATCGAATATTTTTAATGACGCATTCATTGGCAACGCACCAGAAGATGTATTAGAAGAAGTATGCAAAGAAGATGAGGGGGACGTAGAAGATCAATTTTCTGATGACGAGAACAGTGGGATCTATCCAAATAATGAATACTTAGTAAGATTTAGAAATGCGGCTTTTAGTTGGGGAGTCAAAAACGAAATGCTACTCGAAGTTGAAGATTTGGATATCCCCGAGGGTAGGTACCTGTCGAACGTGTTAAAAGTTAAAGCAATCACACATAATTACTTGTTAGGTCGTTTTATAAACTCACGTTCTCGTTAATTACATAAAACTAAATATTAAAAAGACTTAACTATGGAACAATACTCTGTAATAGAAATCAATATTTAATCTGATTTAACGAAAGTTAACTTTAAATAATGCAGCGTCGGTTCAGTCGTTTCTGACAGTGAATATCTATTATTTGAAATTTTAATATCGATTTGTTGTACAAACGGACCCATATGTAGGAAACAAATGCCGGAAGTGTCATATGCATATTTCATTACTTTAAATGCTTAATGATTTATCATATCCAAATGTCACAAGTCAACACAAGTCTGCAAAAAAATTGAGAGCTGCTTTGGTTTTTTTATGTAATTCTTTTGTTTTTGGGAGTGCTAAATCTTAAAATGATATTCATTTTGTCATAGAACGTCACGTTTTCGAAAAAAATGGTATCTATTTAAAACAAGTTATTATCCCAAAATAAAAGAAATATGACTAAGAAAGACTCCTGCTCAAATATATTGTGGTAACTACAAGCAACTATGGAAGACTACACTGCACGTGGGCACGATACGCACTAGGACGGTTTTCATAATATTTTTTTGCGGTTTTAAAAATTATCTGACGTTCTGGAATTTTTTGAGTATTTTTTTAGTTTTCAGAACACCTAAATACATATAAATCTGTTGAAAACATCCAGACAGCGCTTTTGTGGCAGACCTGTGTTATCGGCAACTTGTGATTCTTAGATGTAACCTGTCTTAGTTAATATTACCTATACTTAGACAAAAACAACAACTTTTTACAACAGTACGACACAGTGTGTAGTGCGTCGCCTTTTTCAGGAATCGGGTGCACTAAAACTGTGAATTGAATTTTGAATTTGAATGAAAATTCTAAAGAATCAGTGACATAACAGATCCTGTAGTATTTTAAAAATTTACGAGTACTGGCACACTGTCGACATTACCAGCGTTTACTTTAATGTACTAAAAACAGCTATCGCAATAAGGCATACGATATTGTCGGTCGATAAAAACGAGGCTATGGGGCTGAGGCCTTACACAATTTTGTTATAATTGAATCATTGGAACTTTGATGTACTAAGGCCTATTTAACTTTCGTTTACTTACAGGGAGGTTGATTATGGTGGTAGGTGGAGGTAGTTCGGGGAAGACTTCACTTCTGTCCGCCATCTTAGGAGAAATGTATCTTGAGCGGGGAGACGTCACGTACAAGGGGTGAGATATGAATTGCCTGAGAACAAATTTCCTGGAACAAATATTAGCACTCGCTAAACGATCCGATTGTAATACGCTGTTATTTGACATTGGCGTTGTCTTCGTCCTAAGATCCTTGAGAAAGAATAAAATACCCTATCAGACGAACCGATTCTATCATTGTTTTCTAAGCTCAAAACTAAATTTATCATTAGTCTCTCCTTTAATCCCCCATCCCATAATTCTGTATGGAGAATGACAAGGATACACTGTTGTCAAATTTAAGTTTAAGTTTCTTTAAACCTTCTGTGATGATTCTTTAATCATACCAAAATCGAAACCATTATCTAACTCACCTTGAAATAAATACAATGTATGGTGGTCCGTTGATTGTTTGAAGTTCCTCTACTAATCTGTTTTCAAGATTCACTTTTTGGCAGTCAGCCAAAAAAGGTTACTTTAGCTTTTAGTCTATTCTTTGTTCGGAAAGATATAAAGAATTTTTAAATGTAAATTAATAGCTTAACTAGCAGAACTTTTATAATATATATATACCTGTCGTATGAATTTTCGCGAAAATCCTAGGGATTTTACGAAAACGCGGATAATTAGACAACGGCGATGAATTTTCTCAATCTTACTGTTAACAAAGGTTTTATATTGGCCTTTGCCGGCCCTGCCGCGCTACGCGTCACCTCATCAAAAAGTACTTAAGTATTCTAATTGAGTTGAATTCAATTCAAAACTTAGCATCATGATTTAAAAGGACATACCTAAATAACAAAGTACTACTGATAACAATGGTCAGTTATATTGAGCACGGTCTATGTATGTAAATGAGGTGTGCCATTTACTGTCCTGAATTCCTTAGGTCGTACCTCGTAGTACGTACTTCAATAACATAGAATTAAACATACGGAATGAGTAAGGTAGCAATAAAAAAAATAATAAATACTTATATTTGTATTCTATTGTATTGTATGTTGATGTACCTAACCTATAAGTGGTATTTGTCACAGGCGAGTGTCGATGTGGTTCGCGGGCCAACCCCCTTGGCTGGTGGAGGGTTCGGTGCGGGATAACATCGTGATGGGTGGCCCTTGGTGCCAACGCCGTTACAGCAGAGTACTACGCGCCGCAGCCTTGCGACCAGACTTGCAACTGCTGCCTGGTATGGACTATTTTCTACCAAATGTATCCAACATTCCGATTTCATCTCAAATAAACTCCATATAAGTTTTGCTGGTTTTGTCTCCCTCGCCACACGCCACCATTATATCTGGTCGTGACTAGAGGACGCTAGAATAAAAAATTGTGTGTGTCAGCTCCGACGCAAGTCTGGAGTTTACTCCTTAAGTTCGATAGTCTAACCAGACGCAAAAAGAGTTTATTTAACTTAAAAAAGATTGATACTGTATGAAAGGGTAAATCAACAAATTAATGAAAATAATATACATATATAAATATATATTTATTCTTTTCTTATACATTTATTATAACTAATCGACGAAATATTTTACATTAAACTTTTTACAATAGTCAATTTCAGATGTGCATAAATATATCATTAGGAATGTTGATAAATTATGTAATTATTATTATCAGACTACTATCATTTTTTTAAATATTAATTAAATCAACATTGTCTGCATTATTAATTACAGTGACAAGTGGTTTATGGTAACTAAAATAAGACACATGGACGTTCGTAGATGGGCCATTATACGAAATGGCCTTTTTTAAATCACAAAAATTCAAGTGAGGATTTTTTGGGTTTCAAACATTTATTTTTTGCAAAATATAATCAAATACCATAATCACAACAGAAAACAGAATTTTCATTACGTTTAATACGAAAAAATATGAAAAATCTTTTTTTAAGTCTCACAGAATTGACGCACGTTTTCACTGAAATGATCTAAGTGATCATAACTTAAGAATTAATACAGTTATGATAATAATAAATGTTCTACCGAAAACCATTAAACCAAGATAACATAAATTATGAAACATTATTTTGATCAATAATTTTAAAAAACAATAAAAAAATCAAACATTCATGTCCACGGAAATGATATTTAGTAGGAACGTCATTTCTGTGATACTAAATTATAAAAATCACTGAAGTCATCATATGATAAAAATGTGCAAACTCTCGTATTATAATGTTCTGGGTATATTACCCTGTTTTGTCTCGGAGGCCTAATTTTGTTTTACCTATCAGAATAAATTTCATCGACACGTAATTTAGAGAATGATGGTATAGGGGGCTCATTTTCTGTGTTGCATGTAATAATTGTATTGGTGATTACATTTTTTCCAGCCTAAAATGACGACAAGTGATGACTGAATGACATTCCAAACAACTCAGTCGCCTGGCTTAAAGATAATCTGGGTTTTCTTTTGGCCAAACAATTTGATGAACTTTCATCGTGCCTTGATAGGTTATGTAAAGCTATTCTGTAAAAGAGGATGTTCTCTATTGACCTCATAATACATATATCATTTATTGGCATTAACCTAACCAAGAGGTCATTTTTTTCCAAAAGTGATTTTCCATTTTTTTCACAAAATAATATCAAAGTTTGATGGTCCGGAATGTCATACCCCAAAACCACTCGTCGATCATTATGTCTTTTTAAGTAGCCACCTACACCGTCTAGGGTCCTTTTCCATGACCAGACTCTGAATAATACCATACAAAAGTGTTTGTATTAAACACCGAAAAAATACAAGTTCTGTGACCAACAAGTTCACAGTAATGACGATCACGGGATTGACGAATCATTTTTAAAATCATGCTACGCCGTGGTTTTAAAAGTTACATATTAATTTATAACTACAACCAAAATAAGTCTCCATGGCATTAATTATGAGCTATGGTGGCAAAGTAAATACGTTACTACATACCAAAAAAATCCCTAACCGAATTGACGGGCCAAACTTTACCAGAAACGTATATTACATATATTTTTTTAACAAAACTTCACAGTACATAACCTCCTTGTTGGTTAGCACACACAACTGAACTAACAGCAAAACGCAGTGTAACCAGGTAATAAGAGCAGTAATTCAGTTCTCAAAAATTTTTTGCTGGGTGAAAATAGTAGTTCACGGTATTGATTTAAATTTTTATAACACCTGTATATTGGCTATAAATTTTAATGTATTAATAAGAAAAAATAAACTACTATGTTCTGATGTTTATTGGGATTTGTGAAAACAGATACTGTGAGTTCGTTTTAATTCAAGTGTGTAATATAACTTTTTTCCCAGCTTTTCTGACGAAAAATGTGTTTAGAACAGTTCACGGAGTATGACTACGCTTCTGTTTTGATTTTGAAGTTATACTTCTTTAGCCGCGTTATGAAAAAATTATGAGAGTGAAATTTTAAGATGCGCGCGCATCACTGTAACACAAAAGTAACATAATGAAGTTAGCCGCGGGCGCGTTATGAAAAAATCATGTGAGTGAAATTTCGAGATGCGCGCGCATCACTGTAACACAATAGTAACACCATGAAGTTGGCCGCTGGCGCGTTATGAATGTTAGTGTCTAATAATGGTGGATTATTAACCACTTAGTGGTTAATAATCCACCATTATTAGACATCTGTTCGAAAGGCACTTTGAACGATCCACGGAGCTCCATAAGATGATCGCGTTGTCAAAAACAATGTTGGCACGCTCGTCGCCTCTGATCACTGTTTTCATATTTATAATATTTATCCACATGTTTCTAGTTTCTATATAGACACAACGTGTTTTAGTTACTTACAAGTGCTAATTACATATGGACTAATAACTTAAATTCAGTAGTGATTTAAATTGAATATTTTGAATATTTATTAAATTTTTCAAATTAAAACTGAACTTTATTGACTGCGTTGACTATCCTTTTCCAATCCTGTTATTATCTTATTGTAATTAATTATCTGCATGCAATTAAAAACTATTTTTTAATAATTCCAAAAAGAAGTATAACTTCTCACGCGCGTACTTAAGTACACGCACCCATATTTTCTTTTTTATTTACAAATTAGCAGATAAGGTATGGTTGAATTTGTTATTTTGGTAAATAGTCACAATAATGTACTAAATAGATTTTTTCAGCTTTTGAAATAACTTTTAAATAGTCAAACATCACCGAAGAACAGTTTTTTTTTGTACTCCGTATAATGACCCAGATACGTGGTTCACGAATCTTGAAAATACCGCATCAATGGTTGTACCATACCTCGTTGTCCCCATTGCTCTATCAGAAACAATATCTAAATTCAGTTCAGATTTTAAAAATTTTATTAATGTCAATCCGTCATCTTTGTTTGTCAAAGTTGCGTGACATAAGATGCGCACCAAAAACGTAACGAGGTCATTCATCGATAGATTTTACTCCTCACATTTTTCTCATACCGGGGCCCTTATATATGCAAATCGATTCTTAAGGAGTAAACTCCAATAATAAATAACACCGGCACTATAATTATGACGCTCCTGTAGCTAATCTCGCAATCTTGCAAATGCAATACCTAGAGTTTAGACTTTAAGCCGTATCTCATTCTTTAATCAAGGGCGTCGGCAAGGGGGGGCCGGTGCTTGGCCCACTCATTTAACTTGCTTGCCTGACCAAACATTGCTGCTTCCTGCAAATTCGAATGAATGCACTAGGTAATTCCGAATTCCAACTGAGTTAAGAGGACTACAAATGTGAAGCTTACACCCTTCATTTATGTATATGAACTCGCTCCCAGACGATGCCCTTTCTTTTATTTAACAGAGGGTGACGCCACACATTTGGGCAGCCACGGCTCTCCGTTGTCTGGAGGGCAGCGGGTGCGCGTCTGCATCGCTCGCTCATTGTACTCTAATGCACGACTGCTCGTGCTCGACGAGCCCTTGGGCGCTCTGGACGCTCCGCTCGCTCGTCACATTGTCGCTCGTGCGCTCGTGCCTGCAGTGAGAGCGGGCCGCACCGTGGTCATGGCCACCAATCGACTGGAGCTGTTGCACTACGCTGATTTGGTATGATTTATCAAATAATTATATTAAAATACGATTTCCAAAAATTCGTAGATGTTTCTAAGAACTTTTACTTATTTTACATTAAAAAGCCGTATTATAGTGTGTTTCACGGACACCAAAAGTAAATATAATCCAGTACAAGTAGAAATAACAGAACCGTATTATGGACTCTATATGACAGACAAAGACAGTGTCAGTGCGGGATGCTGCTCTACTGTGCGTATTATATTCCATCTCGCTCTAACAACGGAAATTACCGGGCGTTTAGTTCATAATACGGGCTCTGTGATAGTAACTCAGTATTATTATACGTACATACAAAGGATATAACGGTGACATCTCTTTTATTTTATTAGGTGATAGCCATGGAGGAAGGTCGTGTGTGCGGTGTGGGTCGCGCGGGCGTAGGGCTAGGTGCAGGTGCAATGTCCCGGTGGGCGCGGCTGGCGGCGGAGGCGCGCGCCAACGCGGCCCGCACCGGTGCCGGCCCACCCGGCGGCGCTACCAGGGAGCGGACGCGGCTCATGCGGGAACTCACGCGCGCCCGCTTCCAGAGATGCGGATCCGATGACACCTTGGTGAGTTTAGATTGAAGGTAGATTCAATCATTTCGGATATGGAGCAATTCACCTATCGCGATATGTGATTTTCTTTGAGCATTATATAGGTTTCTAATTTGGGAATATACCGATAAATACGCAATCTATTATTTGACTACACTGCTTATAGATCGGCATCTGCGAAGCGGCAGGAGCGCACCTCCTGACCGAGGTGCGGACATGCGCGGGCGGCAGCTGGCGGCGATCTATGCGCCAGAGACCATCGCTTGAGCGCCAATTCTCGTCGCCACCACCCTCCGTCCACAACTACAAGTAATGTTCAATAAATTCCTGATCCGATGTTTAAAATTCAACACATTAAATGTTAAGCACTTTTCAGGGGATTTTGACTGAACCTCTGTCAGATTCAGCTAAGATGCGGTGCACATAGGTACAACCTTTAGCATACTAATTTAAGTATAAGAGAATATTAACAAATTATGTTTATGATAAGACTGTCATGTGAGATATTAACCCCCTTATTAATAAACGCAGAATAAGCTTGGATTAGTTACTCCATGTTTTGTCTTTGTTCATTGAATGACATATGTCATTTGAGTGATATGAACAAAACACGGCGTAACTTGTCAACGCTTATTCCTACATTTGGCAATTTAATTAAAGATGGCGACGTGAAGTTCGTCGTGCTGTTAGCGCTGATGCCTCTAACACGGCGCTACAGCGAGAAGCAAGCTTGTTGCGTAGACTACTACGGCCACGCCCCCATCGGACACTCTCTAGGTACTTAGATAGGTCATTGAGGTGATTAGTTCAGCTTTAATAATCCAATTTATATGAACTATTGATTTACTTGTTCACTCTAACTTACAGATGGACACCAAGAACTCTACGTAGGCTAATAAGTTCAGATTCTGAAACGACTGCTGACGAAAATGGAACAAACGGTGGGTAGTTCACGGCTGTTGAGATAACTTATACCCGATAAGAGATTTATGCCCGCTTTCCCTGTAACTGAGACTGAGATGAGAGAATGAGATGATGTTGATAATAGCTGGAGAAATTAAGTAAAATATTTTTGCGTTTTAATGAAAACTCCGTGTAGCTTACCCACTCACTACTTTAGTAGAGCACTTAAATAAACTTCATCATGGCAAATTAAACGGAGTCCGTAACGGATAATTAGTTATGTTTTAATGTCAGATATCTTACTGGGAATTGGATATCGGGAACAGCCAACAAACGTGAGTAACAAATAACAGCATAAACGTACGTTAACAGTAAATAATTCATTTGCAGTTACAGTATCTGATGAACAAACCGGAGAGGCAGCGTACGCTTCGCTCACATCAAACGGTACAGATGTAAGTAATGAAGTTGTAAGAGAAGACCAACCGGCGAAACCTGAACCAGAAGAAACAATTGCAGAGGTAAATTTTGAGAGAACAGAACGCCTCAAAGCGCAGTCTGTCCTTCCTTTCATATTTTGCAGACCTACATCTAAAATTCAAAATACTCGACTTTTTAATAAACTTCCATTTGATCTAGGTGTGCGTTTTATAAACTGGGAAATGTTTGGCAGTTTTTAACGCCTTCTTATCTGTCATACATTATTTACCTAGCAAAAGACGATTCATCTGATCTTGAGAAATAACTCGGGCTTCCCTGGCTTCTACATTCAATCTTCTACTTTCATGTTGTCATATTTCTTGGGTTTTAATACTGCTTTTAGTCGTGAAAAGACAGTACCATTCTAATTGGCAACATACTCTGCCTCTTCTATTAGTGGAGTGGCGAATTTCCTAAATGGTTCAAATTTTGTGGTTTACGTTAGAGTGGAGCGTGGTGCGGATACGGCAGAGCGTGTGGATGGTGGGGTTGTGCGTACTGGGCGGCGGCTGTTGCGGCGCAAGCACTGGCCCTTTTTGCCGACTACTGGCTCACACAGACCACGGCCAGGAATGCACAGACTCCCCTGTCTCGAGATGAGGTGAGAAATATTGACTTCGTCCCCACGGCTGTGGCACAGGCCGACCTTTTATATAGAATAGGGAGAATGGGCTATGACCCATTACGCGAGCTGAGTGCGGATTGGTGAGTACTAACGACTGCTAATGCAGCCGGGACTAACGGATTGACTTACCTTACGATGTACGATGGAGCTCAAGATAATAAGTTTTTGGTCACTCATTCAATGACCGGCGGTCGATTTTTATTATAGACTAGCAGAAGCCCGCGACTTCATCTGCAAATTGATTTCCAAAAAAACTTCCACCCCTTTTTCACCCCCATAAAGGGCAAAAACTATCCTATGTTATTTACTTCTTATGTTTTGTTTTGTCGCACACCACTCATTAAATAAAACACTATTTCAATGGTTTTAAGGTGCGTTTTTTAATACTTTTATACATCTCCTATGTGCTTTCCTGGGATTCAAACTATCTTTTTAACAAATTTCATCTAAATCGGTTCAGCGATTTAAGCGTGAAGAGGTAACAGACTTATAGGTAGACTAAGAAAAAATTAGCGGCTAACGTTAGGGGCCTAGAGCGCCAAATTTTAAAATACACCGTTACGTACAGATGTGGTATTCGGTCCGGTCGTACGCGGCGTGGTGCATGGGCGCGTTGGCAGCGGGTGGCATGGCAGGCGCAGCGTGCGGCGCGGCAGGCGCGCGGGCGCGGCGTCGCCTCCACGAGCGACTACTGCGCGCCACACTGCACGCGCCGCTGCACCACACACGCGCCACGCCCGCGCAGCTCCTGCACAGGTTCTCAGCCGACGTGCAGGTCATAGACAGGGTGAGTGAGGACTGTAAATAAGGAGCATACCTAGCATTCGGTCCGGTCGCCTCCACGAGCGCCTTCTGAGCGCCGCAGTGCTCGCGCCGCACTGTACACGCCCCTGCACCACACGTGCGCCACGCCCGCATAGCTGCTGCACAGGTTCTCAGCCGACGTGCAGGTCATAGACAGGGTAAGTGAGAGGGACTGTATATAAGGAGCATACCTAGCATTCGGTCCGGTCGCATCCACGAGCGTGTGATCTTCTGTAAAGTGGAAGCTACTTTCCCAGATAGGCGCTCCAATATAGCGGGAACTCTTAAACTTTAACTACTGACTCACACAGACCACGGCCAGGAATGCACAGTCTCTCCTGTCTCGAGATGAGGTGAGAAATATTGACTTCGCTTTCGGTACCATCACCAGCCTATTAATGTCCCCACGGCTGTGGCACAGGCCGACCTTTTGTATAGAATAGGGAGAATGGGCCATGACCCATTACGCGAGCTCAGTGCGGATTGGTGAGTACTAACTGCTAATGCAGCCGGGACTAACGATTTGACTTACCTTACGATGTACGATGGAGCTCAAGATAATAAGTTAAAACTTAAACTTTAACTATAAGCGTAACAGGTATACCTGTCACGCGTATAGTACTGCAGGGAGGGGTACTTTTGAATTTAAAATATTAGTATGGAATTACCAAATAACAAATGTCTGAAAATTTCTTTTGTTTAACAAAAGTTTCAACATATTACTTTCAGGAAGAAATTAAATATCTATTTCTGTCTGTGTCTGTGTAAAATAAAAAGAATTTCGTCAGTACCTAATACTGACTGAATTTGACAACCTGCTCTTTTGTGAACTCGGTTAAAAATAAATTAAGTATAACATAGAATAACCGCAGCACTTTAATGTTTTTGCAGAAATTACCAATAGCCGTTGGTCGTTGGGGTCAACTGGCTCTACTCTGCTTCGCTTCGTTGATAGTGAATGCGGTAGTGGCCCCGTGGACGCTGCTGGCGCTGCTACCCGCTGTGCTTCTCTACTTCGCACTCCAAGCCATCTACTTGACTAACGCTAGGTACATAATCAGTAAGTAATTATGCGCACGGGAGTTCTAGACGACTCAGGTTGGAGCAGAAAGAAGATAAATCATCAAAATAAATCATTATTTTCAAACAAGGGATTTATGGATGATTTTTATAAGTTACTATAATATTTAGCATACAGTCATTGTAAATAACGATCTACAATTTCAGACAATGTATGTCTAATAACTTTAAGAGACGGCAGATTTGCCGCTCGAAATGGAGCGCCTGTAACTTCTAAGTTCCAGAAGACCACAGTAAAAAGAGTTATTTTTGACACCACCAAAAGGTGGTGTTTAATTTCTGTTGGTGAGTAGAGTTCCCGGTCTCCGTGTGGTAGAGGATTGGGTACAGGCCGGCAAGGTGGGGATGGCTGGAGCGGCACACTTTCTGCCGCATCATCTATCTTCGCGACTGGACTCCTACACTTAACAACAACAGGAGTTAGGGTTACCATATCTCAGGATTTGTCCTGAGATTACAGGATTTTTGGACTCTTCTCAGGATTGCGGCTGGATTTTGTAAATCTCATGAAATCTCAGGATTTTTTGAAATTCCAATAAAATACAGCTTACGTTTTAAAATAAAAATAATCTTCTATTGGTAATAATTGCACAATTAAAATCAGTACTTTATTATCCATGTAGGTACTTATTCAGTTTTATCATACTTAATATGTGAAGTAACATTTTTAAGTAAGGTTTTTTCTTCAATTATGGATTCATATAATGCCCCACATGTTAAGCTCTTCAAATTATATACTCGTAGATATAAAGTATAAGCAGAGTATAAAAGATAATACTACGTTTTCGAATAAGCATTAATAATATATTATACGAATAGTAGTTATGCCACCCAAGCAGGTGGAAAATATTCGTTGTCAATAGGGTATCGGAAATATTAAGCAGCTTAGACAGATCACAATGGTCACATGTGCAATCTAAGGAGAACCCTGCTGATTGCGCTTCACGTGGAGTTATGCCATCCGATTTATGTAAAATTGAAATGTGGAAGACTGGACCTGAATGGCTTAAAGATAAAACAATAGATTATGGCATTGATACAAAGTGTGAGACTAATACAGAAGAAAAATCGGTAAAGGTTTGTCAAACACTAGCTAGCATGGAGGATAATTCTATTTGGGTAAGATTCTCAACATTGAATAGACTTGTCAGAGTCATGTCATGGTGTAGAAGATTTATATTACGAATTACAAAACGCAACTCTGACAGTCTTCCACAATGGCTAACAGGGAAAGAGTTAAATGAAACTTTATATATATGTATCAAACAATATCAATACCAGAGTTTTAACGAGGAATTAGAAAGTTTAAGAAAGTATGGTATGGTTAAGAAAAAACACAAACTTACCTCTTTAAATCCATTTATCGATGCAGCAGGCATAATGCGAGTAGGTGGACGTTTGAGTAGAGCGATGGTAAGTCACGATAGTAAGCATCCAATTATTCTTCCATCAAAGTCACATATGACAAGTTTAATAATTTCTGAAGCACACTTAAGAACTATGCATGGGGGTCCTCAAATAATGATAAACTACTTGAGATCGAAATATTGGATAATTGATGCTAAAAGTCAAGTGAAACGATTTGTACGTAACTACGCAACTGCGTAGTATGTGTTCGTCATGCAGCCCGTAATCGCGAATAATTGATGGGACAGTTACCAGCTGCCAGATTTACTCCTAATAAGCCTTTCAAGCAGAGCGGCGTAGATTATGCTGGTCCCATCAACATCCGAGCATCAAAAGGCCGTGGTCATCATAACAAAGGGTATATATGTTTGTTTGTATACATGGCGACCAGGGTCATACATCTTGAAGTGGTAAGTGATCTCACAGCCAAAGGATTCATCGCCGCCTTTAAAATATTTGTAGCAAGACGAGGTCACTGTTCTGAACTCTTTAGTGATAATGGAACTAACTTTGTAGGAGCAGCTCGCGAACTGAAATCTCTTCTCGCTGATGAACGATCTTGGTACCAGAAATAGCACAATGGTTGGCCTCCAACAGTACCGAATGGCATTTTATACCACACCACTCTCCTAACTTCGGAGGGTTATGGGAAGCTGGTGTAAAGTCTACCAAGCACAACCTACGGAGAGTAATAGGAACGTCGATACTCACATTCGAGGAAATGAGTACAGTGGTGGCTCAAATTGAAGCATGCCTCAATTCCAGACCCATGTCATGTGTAAGTACTAATTCTGAGGATCCAATGCCGTTGACACCCGGACACTTTTTAGTCGGCGAGACCATTATGTTAGTACCAGATGCCAATTACATGTCATCCAATGTTAGTACCTTGAGGAGGTGGCAACTTACTCAACGTATGGTTCAAGAGTTTTGGCGAAAATGGTCGCAGGAATACCTTGCACAGTTCTTGCACAGGTATAAGTGGAGTTACCAAACACCTGAACCAAATATAGGGGATATTGTGCTAGTGAAGGAAGATAACCTTCCTCCTGCAAGGTGGCTTTATGGCATCATAACAAACAAACATACAGGCTTGGACAATGTTACTCGTGTAGTAAGTCTAAGATGTAATGGTAATGTAATTAAGAGACCAGTATCAAAACTATGTATTTTACCAATTGCTAAGTAACGTTCAAAACATTTTTTTTTGCATTTACATAATATGTTTTCTTATAACAAGCTGTTTATATAATGTGTTACTTTTAGCATGTTTGTGAAGTTCAAAACCTTTTTTTTATGTTTATTATCAATTTATTTCCCAAAGTATCCAATGCCCACCCACTGTTTATGTTGTTATGTATTTTGCTGTTTTATTTTTAGTGATTGTTATTTTAGTTAGGTATTATTTAATGAACCATTGGTTCATGGTGGGCGGTATGTTCGAATAAGCATTAAAAATATATTATACGAATAGTAGTTATAACATTTGCCACTAGATGGCGCTGTACCATGATGAATCGCGCTAAACTTTCGCGTCAGTATTTAAGGAATTGGTAACAAATAAATTCTTCTTGTTTTCGCCTTGGACACAGTTTTGTCTTTTTATTTTATCTACGTATTCAAAAGGAAAAAGCGCGAGAAACCCTTTTCATTTTTTATGTGGGATCTGTACACTACGACTTTTTTAAATTGTTAAGTACTTTTGAGAGCAAATTCTCAAACTGTAAAAAATCTCAGGATTTTTCAATGGAAATGAAGCCTTTTCTCCGGACTTTTGATTTTATCATCTGGTAACCCTAGGTGTAGTAATGTTTATTCCCCGTTATAAAAAAATACCATGGTACAATACAATATGAGATACGATCTACATTAGATGCTCTTCGACCGCCTGTATAGACCAGGGTCGATAATTTTTGAGACCAAAAAAAATTATAGTAGGATGAAACCCATTAGAAAAGGTAGAGAATATAACAAAAATGAAAGGAAAAATAAATTACGGGCGATCTGAGGTCGGGAAGGGGGAGGGGGTGAGTTTTTAAGGGTAAAAATGGTTAATCTCGATTTCCTGTAAAACTGCAAGTCCTATGGAAAAATAATTAAATGGCAAAGTTGTAGGTAATAAAAAGATCTACAACTTTTGTAGCGAAACTTTTTTCACATAACCTCAAAATTTATGTGAAAAATGCGAATAACCGAGTTTTTGGTTTTTGATTTTTATTTGTTGCAAAAAAAAATATTTTTTCATAAAATTTGGTGAAAACTTACCTTTGTATGTCCTTAACATACAGTATTTTTTTTGATTTAAAACTTTCATTTTTTCACCTTATTTTGACTTAATATCGAAAAAGCACCCTTATTTTCAATCGAAAATTCTCACGTCAAAATATCTGCTTTTTTATAAAAGTTGGGGTGTTTTTTTGTTTGTTGAAATCTCTACTTTTTGATGGTATAAAAAATATATACACTACTATGGTAAATGTTCTCAGAAACTGCAAATTAATAATGAAAAAAACTCTAATGCGAAAAATTGATTTGAATCATTATGTATAATTTTGAACTATTTATTAAAATTTACACTTTAATTACTCGAAAAACGTAAGGTTTCATGTTATATTGATAAACAGAAAAATTACAAATTCATAAAACATGCCAAAATACTTGTTGTAAGTAGGTATTAAAAATAGGATTTTCGGATTCGAGTTTTTTTCATTATTAATTTGCATTTTCTGAGAACATTTATCATAGTAGTGTATATTTTTTTTATACCATCAGAAAGTAGAGATTTCAACAAACAAAAAACACCCCAACTTTTTTAAAAAACCAGATATTTTGACGTGAGAATTTTCGATTGAAAATTAGGGTGCTTTTTGGATATTAAGTCAAAATAAGGTGAAAAAATGAATATTTTAAATCAAAAAAATTACTGTATGTTTGGGACATACAAAGGTAAGTTTTCACCAAATTTCGTGAAAAAATAATTTTTATTTGCAATAAATAAAAATCAAAAACCAAAAACTCGGTTATTCGCATTTTTCACATAACTTTTGAGGTTATGTGAAAAAAGTGTCGATACAAAAGTTGTAGATCTTTTTATTACCTACAACTTTGCCATTTAACTTTTTTTCATAGGACTTGCAGTTTTACCGGAAATCGAGATTAACCATTTTTTACCCTTAAAAACTCACCCCCTCCCCCTTCCCGACCTCAGATCGCCCGTAATTTATTTTTCCTTTCATTTTTGTTATATTCTCGACCTTTTCTAATGGGTTTCATCCTACTTTAATTTTTTTTCACTTTTCACCATTTTTAAAATTATCGACCCTGGTCTAGTACTCTAATAAGAGTGAAGAGATTTTTGTTAAATCGCGAATGTCGTCCCTGTCCATTCTACTACATATGTTTACGAAGTTCCCTGTTCGGTTAAACCCAAGGACCCAATTAACTGTTTAGTTCGAATAAAGTTGCGGCTCTCTTTCTTTGCGATGGCAATGATAATAGAATGAGACAACCCGTGACTTTATGTATACCCGGCGTATTACGCCAGCAATATTTGACGTTACTACGGTTGATAGTCTTATACAGGATTTTCTCATCGTTCGGGGCATTCGTATCCGGGACAGGGTTTCCCTATTGGATGAAATAGAAAGAGTGTCAGGACCCACCACGGTCCACTGAGAATATGTGAATGATACATAATAATAAAGTTTCGATCACTCATCGGGGGCTAACCACGGGGACGACCGCTGCGCAAAATCGCGCCGCACCGCGCACTGCGGCCGGCACTCTCTTTCCCTTTTGCCTTGCTAACTTCAGTAAACTAGAACCGTTCACCACACGAAACTAGTGCGGATTGATGATAATGCCTTTTTTAATTTCAGAGAATTGCAGCGTACAGAAGCGTTGAGCGCAGCGGGTGTGGTCTCACTAGCGGCGGAGACGAGCGTGTGTGCGGGCGCAAACACAGTGCGTGCGGGCCGCCTGCAGCCACTCATGCGGTCGCGGCTACTGCGCCGTCTGGACAGGAACAACGACGCGCTGCTGCTGCTCAACGCCGCCAACCGGTGGCTGGGAACTGCACTGGTAGGTATAGTGCGATAATAACTTAACGGTGGTTATGGAGTTAGCAGAGTAGAGTACCATGTACAGAGCCGAGAACAGTGCGCGCTGGCCGCTTGCAACCGCTCATGCGGACGCGGCTACTGTGCCGTCTGGACAGGAACAACGACGCGCTACTGCTGCTCAACGCAAACCACCGGTGGCTGGGAACTGCACTGGTAGGCATAGTGCGATAATAACTTAACGGTGGTTATGGAGTTAGCAGAGTAGAGTACCATGTACAGAGCCAAGAACAGTGCGCGCGGGCCGCTTGCAACCGCTCATGCGGACGCGGCTACTGTGCCGTCTGGACAGGAACAACGACGCGCTACTGCTGCTCAACGCAAACCACCGGTGGCTGGGAACTGCACTGGTAGGTATAGTGCGGTACTAACTTTGCAGCGGTCGTGAAGGCATTGAATGCAGTGGATGAAGTCTCACTAGCAGCGAAGACGAGCACAGTGCGCGCAGGTAGCTTGCAGCCGCTTATGCGGGCGCTGCTACTGCGCCTTCTGGACAGGAGTAAAAGGGCCACGGGAGGAGCCCTATATCGACATTCATTGCCCACCTATATTTTGATTAATAGGATTAGAATAAAGAAGCAAATTGGAGAGGCCCAGGGCGCCAGATTTAATAATGCGCCCCTGGTGGGAAGAGAGCGCAACTATATGCGCAGGTGTCACAGTGTGAAAACCTAAAATTTCGTTCACTGCGCAGCGTCTTGTGCTAACTTCACAGGCAAATGGCACCACTTCTTCGTCAATTTATCTTTAAGTTGGATTAAGTTCATTAAATTTAGGTTTTTTTAGATTGCAATCCAGTATTGGGCTATGTCATAATCTCTTTGCATCTATATAAACAGGACTTGGTAGGAGCAGCGACAGTTTGCGTGAGCATGGGCGTCGCTCTAAACAGTGGCAGTGAAGGCGCGGTTACAGGTCTAGCAGGCACATACGCGCTACTGCTGCCCGCTTACCTCGCGCACTTGGCTAAATGCCGCGCCGATCTGCATCTGCAATTGGCTTCTGTCGAGCGAGTGCGAACCGACACCAACCTCCCGCAGGAAGACTACAGGGAAGACTGTGAGTTGAACCTCTTTACTACAGCCTAGCATTGATAAAAGTACTGTCCTGCCACTGTGTAGCTGCTTAGGTACCGTGCCAACTTCTACCTGCTGTTGGAAAATGGAGAACGAATGCGAACTGACACTAACCTCCCAAACAAGAAGATTACAGAGAAGACTGTGAGTTAAAGCTATAGTCTATAACCCGAGAATGCTCTCGAGACTAGCCATGTAACATTATTTAGCGTGTACCTAAATACAAAACTATAGATATTTCAGGGTGTAGTTGTTGCTATGAAATAACTGCAACGCATTTAATTACCTCATACTGGATTTATTCTTCGAAGTGACGTTTACAATAGAATTCCAATGTTGTTAAAATAGATACATTTTCACTTTACCCTAATGTAAGACGGTGTTAATCTAAATTTTACTTTTCTTGATGAAAAATGTTAAAATGGATCGCTGAGAAGACAATTGCGATGGTGACAGCTTCTTATTACTGTACTGTAGTGTACTTTATATCTAGAACACGCCGAGTATATAATTTATAGCTGACGCACATCAACAGTAGTTAGGAAAACTATATTAAGGTAAATAAAAATAATTACCCTCTTAGTTATCAAACGATACTCTGGCTGTTTGATTTCTCATATCTCGTTACAAGGAGCCAAAGACGGCAGCAGTCATATACCTAAAGCCATTCGTTACGTTCGTTTGAATTAGTAAATCAAATAGGAGAACTAATGACAGGTGATGATAATAATAAATGAAACCTGGCACATACCAAGCCAAGATGCATGTATAATAATATTTAATATCTGTTTTCGGTACCTAAGTCCTGTTTCATTTCAGGTCCGATACCAGAAGGTTGGCAGAGAAACGGAAAAATCGTATTCGAGAACGTCAGTATAAGTCATGAACCGTCCGACTCACAACCAATACTCAGTAATATCAATATCTCTGTAGCACCTGGAGAAAAGGTAACTATTATATTCCAAGCAAATGACTTCAGCAATTTATTTCATTTTACTAAAACTCTCGTAGTACATACATAAGTATTCGTATAGTACAGCGTCAGCCCAGTCAGTACAATGTCTCCATTTAAAAATTGTCTATCTATAATTGTCTATAGGGTACATCCAGAGTACACTCAGATTCAGATTCAGACTCAGAAAACAAGCGCGAGAAATAAACAGTGTAGTCTAAGCAGGTTGCCTGCTGCCACTATGGCCACCCTGCTTTAACTACACTGTTTATTTCTCGCGCTTGTTTTCGTAGTCTGAATCTGAATCTGAGTGCACTCTGGCCGTACCCATACTCTACATTCAGAACAAGACCAAAGAAATGGATTTCCGGAACGAGTAAGGTTGCGTAGCAATTGTTACAGTGCATTTAAAGATTCGATCCTTCCATCCAGGGCCGGCTATAACCAAATTTCAACGGGTCACAAAATCAAATCGTATGCCCCAGGCGCAATATTCGGGGACTGCACTTCAATCCTCGGGGCCCCCACACCTCCGAATCCGGCCCTGTCTTCATCCATTATGTAAAAGTCGCAGCTTCGAGTCCCGTATCGGAGCCGTCTTGAATAAAATTCAAATTAATTTGTTACATGATTAAAACAAAATTTACAGGTAGCGATCTGTGGCCGCAGTGGGAGCGGCAAGTCAACCTTAGTGTTGACTTGCGCAGGCGCAACTAGCATTCGTAGCGGGCGTTTATTAATCGACGAGGCCGATGTGACACAAGTGGCTTTACGCGCCCTGCGACATCGGGTGGTGGTGTTACCGCAAGAAGCTACCCTGTTCTCAGGCACTCTTCGGGAGAACCTAGATCCTTTGGCTGTCCATACGGACGAGGAGATCTGGCAGAGCATAAGAGCTGTCGGATTGCACGACTTCGTTTCTGCGCAGCCCGCTGGTTTAGGTATAACTATAGCTTCACTTATTAACTGACGTCTATTGGTTAAGTTTATATCGAATTAATTGAATTATCTATTATAAAATCAATTGCAATGTATATTATGGATAAACAAAATGAAGTAACTAAATAAAAGAAGATTAATTCGAGAAGCAAAATGTATGAAAAAACACGACCGCTGCTTGAGGACACGTTTAGTGGCCACCACTACTGGCTCAATGTGCGCTTGTTCTAAAAGAAATTTGGTCTTTTCGCGATATTTCCAACACTTTTAATCCGTATTTATTACAAATTATAATTATTATGTGTTGGTAGAGTGCATAGTGCGTGGCGCGGGTAACGGTGGGGCTGGTTGGGCGAGCGGTCGCGCGGGGCGGGCATGCGCGGCGCGGGCGGCACTGCACGCGCGGCTGGCGGGCGCGCTCATACTGGACGAGCCGGCCGCCGCGCTAGATGCGCCCGCAGAGCGTGCGCTGCTGGCCGCGCTGGCTGCCAGCGCGCCCGGCACTACGCTGCTTACTGTCGCGGTCAGTATCCGCAATCTATCTATATGCGCGCTCATACTGGACGAGCCGGCCGCCGCGCTAGACGCGCCCGCAGAGCGTGCGCTGCTGGCCGCGCTGGCTGCCAGCGCGCCCGGCACTACGCTGCTTACTGTCGCAGTGAGTATCCGCAATCTATCTATATGCGCGCTCATACTGGACGAGCCGGCCGCCGCGCTAGACGCGCCCGCAGAGCGTGCGCTGCTGGCCGCACTGGCCGCCAGCGCGCCCGGCACTACGCTGCTTACTGTCGCGGTCAGTATCCGCAATCTATCTATATGCGCGCTCATACTGGACGAGCCGGCCGCCGCGCTAGACGCGCCCGCAGAGCGTGCGCTGCTGGCCGCGCTGGCCGCCGGCGCTGCCGGCACTACGCTACTCACCGTCGCAGTCAGTATACACCCCGGTAAAATTCTTGACCAACGACCACACAAAGAAGCTTGTGCAGTAGCAATTTTACATACAAAAATGTCTACTGCGCATGTTTTTTTGTCTGTGGTTTTACTTAAGAAGTTTGCCGCTACCTACCCTCTACCACGTCAAATGTAAAAAAATAATAGGTAACAACCTCCTACAGGACTATCCTATGAATAAAATAGGGAGAACAGACCAAGAACCACCTAGCAGGCCCAGTGCGGATTTATAAGTGCCAACGTGCCAACAACTGCATATGCAGCCGGGACCAAAGACTTAAAAAAAACAACGGCTTAAGCAGCACGATATAATATTATATTTTTTGCCACATATTCTATAACCGGCCAGCGTAAAAATTGCTTAACTGCCTCAACAGCAGACTGAACGCGCTATCGAGCTCCTTCGGCAACATCAAGTGTAAAATGCACAAATTATACCTTGCCCAACCAGTCTAGCCACACACAGACCAACAACAGAACTAGTTCCTACGCCGAATAGAAAATCTAAAACTTCTATTAATTCCCCACATTCACGGTTTTTAATGAAGACGTTATTTACAGCATCGCATCTCGTCGATACGCGGTTACGACCGTGCCGTTGTGTTAGAAGAGGGCCGCGTGGTCGAGCAGGGCGAAGTGAAGAGTCTACTAGCGCAACCCGCCTCGCGGTTAGCGAGAATGCTAGCCGCTGCTCACCGGCAGACCTAATAATTATATTAGTATTAATTTTACCAATATTTTATATAAAGCAGCTCATACTCTGTGAACACCAAATTATTAGCAAAGTCGGTATTGGAAACTTTGGGAAAGTACTAAGAAGAAGGGTAGTGGTCTAGCAGGGTAAATTGTAGACGCTGCATGCGCAACTCCCCTGCGAGAGAATGCTATCCGCCGCTCACCAGCAGACTTAATAACTATATTAAGATTAACTTCTACAAAGTTATATGAAGCAGCTCACACTTACTCAGGAATACTATGTGAACTATACTTATTATAAGCAAATATGGCTAAATACTTAACTAAACTTTGCGAACACAATTTATTATTAGCAATGAAAATGGCATGGAAACTTTAACAAAGTACCGACGTACAGTTGAATTATATAATTATCATGCTAAAAATAAATCTTTTTTCTGCGAATTCAAGCTTTCCTCGTTCTAAGCGGTCTACTAAGAATGGAAAGAGTACGAAAACGAAGCACGCTTGAAAGAGAATATACTACATACTACACTACTTTATATAATATTGTTTTTTTGAACTAATGGCTGTTAATTTTGGTAAACTTAACTGAATTTTATAAAGTATCTATTACAAATTTAAGGGTACCGCAAAATGAATAGAATGAATTGAAAGTACTTAATTATTTACAAACTCATATAAAAGTCAATAATATGCACGCGACGCCAGCCTCGGTGTCTACCAAGGCAACGTCTTTTCTTGTGTACAAAAGACTTCTGTAGGCTATCAGTGTAAAGAGAATATTTTTTTACTTTTGTACTGTATATTATCAATGTAGACAGTATGTAAAGTATCGCTTACAGAGCAATAAAGGCAGAAGTCAATATTTGAATTTAAACCTAAAAGTAATCACCCCAGCAAACTTTTTGAGCAACGACCATAGACAAGGACGTCTGCGCAGGAGCAATTTTACATACAAAAACGTCTACTGCGCAAGCTTAAATGTCTATGGTTTTGCCCAAGAAGTTTGCCGCTACGTACGTACGCTATACGTATCTTAAATCTCGCAAGTGCATAGGCTCCTACCGCTTTTCGTGGGCGCTTATTAATCTCCACATTAGAAATATGCTCGAAAGAATAAGACTAAATTTAGTATGTAATTATAATTAGGGCAGTTTTGTGCCTGGAAAATTATAGGACTGTGTGAATCTTTTAAGTGCTTATTCGTGTTATGAGTGATAATTAATGTTGTTCACAATCTTTCGTTATTAAATAATCACAATGATATATTTTATTTTTATTTCCAGTTTGTACAAAATATTGATAACATTTTCGTTTTACCTCTTACTATTTTGGTATATTTATTGATTTTACAATTAATTTATTTCTTTGTGAAATGTATTCACTCTATGTACATATAATATATAACAAAAAAATATTGGTTATATTTTTCAGACATTACCTATATAAAACAGACTGTTTCCACACCACCGATTGTTACAAATTAAACGTTCAAATAAAAGTCACAGGTGTTTTTTTTCTTACCAAAATGTATTTCCAATAGAACAACAATTGCACAAAACTCTTTTTAAAGCTCACATAGGTGGCGCGACCGACGCGCTCCGCACACAACGTGCGACCAGAGTCAACGATACTTATAAAACTATATCACTACATAACAAATTACAACAATATTTACGTTGGCACCGATTCATAATTAGTAAATATAAAAACATTTTGTGTCGTGCACAAATCATATAAAAATATTTACTTAAAGTATTTTAACATACTTACAGCAATAAACTAAATTAAATCTCGACACGGTTAATATTTTTATTTCACTTATTGACTATATTGGTATTCACATTGGACAGGAGGGAGTTTACTCGAAATTCATTAGTTTCTTATACAAATGGCTGTCACATAATTAATAGCTTCATATAAAAATAGATCATTATAAGGGGCTTCAACACATTACAGCAACTTCATATTGCGCTCAGGGCTTGTAACCGGTTTCGAAAATACCGGTAAACCAAGGTTAATACCGGTTTTCAGTAAAGGTTTCGTTCGGAGGGCGTCCGAAATGAAAGCGGTACCTAAAACCTTAAAAAAACCGGTTTAATCCAGAGCGCCACGTGTACGCGTCGGTATCGCTTGAAGTTAGTTTTGTTTGAACTAATCAAGTCACAACTTGTTAATGCTCAGATATTGATGCATTTCGAGCCGTTACCGCCAAATTATCGTAAGCGACACTTTTGTCGAAACGTGTACGATAATTTGGCGGTAACGGCTCGATTTATTGACACGTTTGCTAGCGTCAGGTGAGTCAAGTTATTCATTTTGTAGTTGTGTATTGACACACTACTTCACTCACTCGCTCTGTAGTTGGAAAGAAACTGACATTAAATCATTATAAATTTAAATTGAAACGGCGAAGGCGATGCCGTCATTAAGAGCGAAATGAAACCCTTTAAAAAACCGCTAAATTGCTTCAAAGGTAGAGCCAATCCTAAATAAAACGCTCCTAATGTACTTGATACTGATTTAGGTTTGAAAATTAACCGGTAAACAAGCCCTGATTGCACTAATTCGACTTAAAGTCGAATGCTTTTGCATTGAAATGGGATCTTTATATGACGGTAAAGTTGGAGTTTTGAAATTTTCAATGTTCGAAGCGTACAATTAATTAAATATTTCGATACGAGAGTTAAATTGGAGTTGAAGTTGAGTTGCTGTAATGTACTAAGACCTCAATTATGTTTAAAATTAGCTATAATTCTTTGGCAAAAATAACTCGATGTAGGCTATTAAAATTAAAGTAAGTATTAAAGGCACTGAATCAGGACACTTTATGTATACTATGTATACCAACATATACGATAAGTATATTATGAAGACTATTAAATAACATAATTACTATTATCAAACAAAGACCGTGTACAGTACCCAGCCATTTATAAGTCACTTCGTGCTTTAGAAAGAGGTACTCGGCTAGCTTTGGCTTCGTATAGCGCCGTCTCTGTCACCCCTGTCAACCTGACGCTTAGTCGCTGACTTGTCAGTCATAGTTTAACGTCGCTAAAGAGCAGTCGCGTTCTTCTTCAAATATATATACAGAGTTGCTAAAACCAACAACAAAAAAATATTCATGGCATCTAAAATAAAAAGTGGGAAACCTTTGCACGGATAGTCTCGCGAAATTGTTTACAATGTATATAAATATTTCGTGAAGAAAGTAAAAAAATTAAGGATGATGATGGCAGTAATTATTTTATGAAGTATCAAGAGCGAGTTGCGAGTGCTACTGGAATTTCAAGAAAAACTGTCAGAAATATATAAAATGAAGCTGAGGAAGCTGATATTGATGCACCATCCACTTCATTTAAGTTTAGTACTCCCAAAAAAGGGCAACAAAAAAAGCGACACCGTTTGGATATAGATGACTTTGATTATGATGTTGTTCGGAGAATGGTGTATTATTTTCACTTAAGATTTAATGAATTGCTGACAATTAAATCGTTGAAAATCAAATTATCTGAGGCTTATTAACTATAATGGATCTGAAAAGACGTTGATAAAAAATCTTCTAGAGATGGGATTTCGGTTCACTAAAATGGAAGATAACAGAAAAGTGTTAAAGGAAAAACATGATGTAAAACTCAAACGAATTGAATACCAAGATAAAAAATGCAATTTTCGCAATGAAGGAAGAAAAATAATTTATATGGATGAGTCTTACATACATACATCCCACACAAAAGACAAAAGTTGGATTGATGATAAAAAAAATAGGAGTAAAGAAGCCAATTTCAAAGGGTCAACGGTTGATAATAGTTCATGCAGGCGACGAAAAAGTTTTTGTTCCCGGTGCTTCTTTAACATATTCAATTAATCCACAGATACCACAGGCGATTACCACAAAGAGATGAATAATGAAAACTATGCGAAATGGCTGCTTAATCAATTAATACCAAATATACCCAATAACTCCGTTCTGGTTATCGACATTCGCTAATCATTCATAATAAATATGTAGAAAGACCCCCAAATTCCAACACTTTAAAACAGGAAATGATAAACTGGTTAAACACATATAACATTCCAGTTGATCCAAATTTGACAAACCACAGATTTATGCTATTATATGTCGCCACAAGGAAAATTTTACAGAGTTTTCCGTAGACAAAATACTTGCAGAACATGGGCACACTACGTTGCGATTGCCGCCACATCACCCGGATTTCAATCCTATTGAAAATATATGGTCTCAATTAAAAAGGCTATGTAGCCTCTAGAAATGTAGATATGAATTTGAATTTGGTGAAAAATTTATTGACTGAAAAAGTAAACATGATTGGAGCTGAGAAGTGGAAAAATGTTTGTGATTGTGAACACGTAATAAAATGTGAAAATTAATATCGATAAACTGAACATCATTTAGACAATTTTACTGATAGGCTATAATAATATAAATACGAGCGAAAGTGACAGCGATGGCGAGGTTGAGAGCTCACATAGTGATATGGAAGGAATTGAGAATTTAGAATCTGATTAGTAAAATGACACGGAGAGCCGAAGCTAGCCGATTACCTCCCTCTAAAGCACGATGCGACTTATAAATGGCCTGATACTGTATACGCATGTTGATTTTAATTAATATTTTGGACATCGAGCTACCGTCATATTGTTCAAAGCCAAACAGGTACTTTTTGTTGTTATTATTTAAGTTAATATTATTTATAAAAAAATCTATATCGCGGACGAATGTATTTATTTTAGTTTCTTAACGCGTAAAGTTATCTGCCACCTTAAGGTCTAAAGGCAACTTATATAATTAATATAAATGCTCAAATTACAACAACATTCATAAAAACTACACATATAGATTGTGCGTTAAGTAAGAAACTTTTAAATTCGGCTCAGTTTAACAATTAGTGAACACCAACAATTCGCACATTAAGTTAATTAATATCTCTATAAAAGAAAATACAAATAAAACGTTCGCTAACTGCCGAATACTCGAAAGCTTTTTAAAATAAATACTAAGCAAAGTATACCTGCACCTCTAATATGACCACCGAAACGGGAAACGAAATATGATAAAGCGATATATCGGCATTAACTGTCAGACTACAGTGGAGTTTGACAGTTGAGACTCGATAAAAAGCTTTATCGTATCCCGTTTCCTGACCTACTTAAACTATTTCAAAGTCAACATTTAATGCATTGCATGCATGCAAGAAATCTAAAAGAATGCATTTTCAGCTAAGATGCAGCTTTAATAATTTACAATTTTCATATTATTCAATACATATAATTTCACCTCTGCCAGGGCTTGAATTTATGTATCATAATAAATTAGAATATAACAAATTAAAAAATCTTTCGAGTTTCGGACCATTGGCTTACATATTCGAGATGGCATTTTGCTATTTAATCTCTCGTGTGTGTTGACAGTTGCGTTTTATTTGTAATATCCAAGATTATATTTTCAATGGCCGAAGCATTAACACTTCAATTTAAGTCACAACAATACAAAAGTCCTGCAATAAACCCACATAGTACTCCTCATGAAATATATAAGTAACACGCAAGAAATCAACAACTCTATATGAGATATAATTTGTACATATCACAGTCTTGGTTCAGAGCTAGTCTACGCTAAAGAAGTCCAATTTCTATTATAATGAGTATAATAATATGTACATTAATATAATATATTATAATGTTAATATAGTATATTATAAAGTCCGAGTTTAGTAAAAATAGATATAGGAAATAGATGAAAGATATAATTTATATAGGTAGTAAACGACATAAAAAACATATATTTAGGTACTTTCTGTTTATACATAAAAGCTCTGCACCAAACTGTTAAAATAATAATTATTAAATATATTTAACAACAATTTATAACTAAGGCGTGCATCCCTACCAGTGTGGTGCGAACAGTTATTCAAATAATAACAACCTCAACAACAATACAATGCTTTTTACAACAATTTCCTTCAATTATAATTTTCTTAGCATGAAACGTACGACTGATGTTCCTCTTAATACCTAATAATATTTATATTCATATTTTTGAGGAAATAAATAATATTGATTGCATAATAATGTTATATTGATTTAATTGTGTAAACATTGTAAAAATAATTCATTTTAGATAAAATACGTGGTATAGTAATTACGTATATAGTCTGTAAACTATTAGTCTGTTTATTTAAGAGATTCTTATTTTAATACACTAGTGATCTGCCCTTGCTCCCTAGGGTATACTATATGGTCCACTTCCGTTTAATGGATTTATTATTTATTTAAAGAGTTGCTTTATTTTTAAGTAAATCCAGAAGTTAGATTGTTAAATAAGACTCTCTTTAATAAATAGATTTAAAAATTAGTATATATACATATATTTAGAAAGGCACCATTCATTGACCAAGTTTGACGGACGTAATCAATGTATCTAATATTCCAAAGCTCGACTAATGTTTATACAAAAAGCAATTTAAATAAGTACGGCCCGTGTAAAGATGTAAAGGCGTGTACGAATGTACTTCGTACGTGTGGACGTAAATTAACAAAGCATACAAGAACTTCTTAGGAACACAATTCGATATGTGTTACCGCCCAGTATACGTAGATTTGTCGTTGGAAGTGGTCGACAGTGAAGTAGACACAACATTTTATGCTTTTCGTAGTGTTTCTCGCAATTTCTTCAAATAATGTAACCAAGGGGAGTGCAAATCGTAAGTGGACCGGGGGTTCCAGATTTGAAAATAGGGTTGAGAAAATCAGGAACAAATGTATTAGAGCTTTATTGAAATAAGTATTCAAACTTTACGAGTTTTCTATAGTTGTTCTCTGCCTCAGGTATGTTCATCACCTGTAAAGAGTTAAATAAGCATATATGTTTTGATAAAATGAGCTCGCTTTTACATATCCTGTTACATACCAGTGGAGTGCTATAATTCGAGCATGAAAGTAGATAGTGGGTGTATTCTGAAATATACACCGGTACGCTGGCCACGGGTAATGACGTCATGAATCGACGCCATGCTCTTGATTCGTTCCAAATACACTGATCAGCGCGGTGACGTCATGAACTGCCGCTATATTGAAGCAAAAAATTATAATAAATTTTAACCTACAATTTTAACTGTGATTATTTGAAAAGAATATAAGTGATAGCTATTAAGACAATATCTCGTTTTGTTGTTGAAACACAATTCGACTAAGGCTAATAAATAATTACGTCACAGTATTCTTACCAGCTTAATATGGCGGCACACCAGTGCAATATGGCGTCGAAATCATGACGTCATTACCGCTGGCCAGCGTACTGGTGTATATTTCGGAATACACCTAGTGTGTGGTGTTGTTTACTCACCATGACCGGTAGAGGGCTGTGTTGGTTAATGTCTGGTTACGTGGGCTCGGATTTGACGCCGGCGCTGGCAGCGACTGCCTGACGCGCCTCTTCAGGCAGCCGCTCGGGGTTCGTTAGGATGTCCGTAGTGGTGCACAACACTCGGAGGGAGTTTAGCACCGCTGCAAACCCCATTAGCGTTTTATTATATTTTTATTTTTTAAGCCATTAACTGCTTAATATTTAAATATAAAGAAAGTTAACTAGAAAAAAAATCCTCCTTTACCTAGAGATTTAAACATTAGCTTGTTAATCCTCTCATTGTTAATCGGGACACACGCAAGTGTGTAGACATAATTTGTTGCTTAAAATTGCCAATACTCGGGATAACAAATATCTAAACACCACAGTGAGATGATGATTTACGCAAAAAAAAACTAAATATTTGTCAATTAAACTAAAGTACGGCTAACGAGAAGCGATACAAAATTTCATTCACCTTAGACGAGACTATGGGACTGACGGTCTAATAACTATCTCTTTCATCTCTTATACATGAATAACGTCTCATTCGGTCGTGTCACGTCACGTCATCGCCGAGGCACCGAGTTCGACAACATTCGGGCGGCCATTTTATAGTAAAAAATAATGACATATTTGCATTTCGTTCCGTGTCTTTCCGATACTACTCGTGGTAATAACTAAAGTAGAACTTTTTATCAGCTGCAGTAAAATGACGTTTTGTGGGTTACCACTTTTTGAAGAAAAATAAATAGGGATGTAGCTAAGTGAGTAAGTGAATCATTCAATAAATGAATGATCAGTTTGGTTTCGTTTAAGAGATTTAATATTAAGTTGTAATGATTTTTTATTCTATTATTATTACTATAGCAAAGGATTGATCTTTTTTATTGGAAGTATCGGGAGGTACATCCAAAATTAAACTAAAAGTCATAACAATGTTATTTATTAATCAAATATTTTCGGGATCACTATCGCTGTCGCTTTCGGTCACACTAATGACAAATCTGTCTATCATTTCATCAATAATATGATCGAGGTGGCACATTTTGTCTTTCTCTTTTATAGTGTTAGACACACAGTCACTCCACTTAACCGGTGTCATTTTGTTGATTCCTTCTTGGAATAAAGTTTTCACTTCTTGCATTTTATATGTTTTATTAATGTTTGCGACGTGCCCCCTTACCCGAGCCCAAACCAACTCGATGGGGTTCACTATATTTGGTTCAAATGTAATATTTTTAGTGGTCAGCCACTCTTGAAGCTAATTGGTCAAAATTCCACATGGGGTGTGAGAAAACATATTATACCTAACGTATAATAAAAAGATTAATGATTACAGGTAAAATAACTTTTGCGATGGTGGGTACTTCATTTCTATGAAAGAACTGATGTACAATTCGTCTAATATCGGTGAATATGAAATCATCAGCTTTTTTTTAAATGTAATTTTTGGGCCAGGTTTTTCGGGAGGTTTTGGTGATTTACAGTCGTTCTCCTTGTGCTCCTTTAAACAAAATAAACAGTGCGGACGGATATTCTCAAGACTTCAGCCACCTTGTTGACGCATACACTTGTTTTTAGAACTTCAATATTTGATTCTGTAGATTTCACTTCAAACACATATTTGTAAACGTTTCTGACCCAAAGTTTCTCGGTTACACTAAGAGCTACACGTGGCCTTTTTTTCTTAGGAAATAGAAATGTATCTCTATCTTGTAATATGCTCAACTGAGCATCCATGTATTCGATGTAACAAACAAAAAAAAGCTGACACGATTAAGAAAAAGTAGGTAACTAAAAACCAGTACCAACTTGAGATTTTATACAGCCTTTTATTTATATGAATAATAAATAGAATTAAGTATGATCATCATGAGTTAGTTATGGAACGATTAGATTTTCTGTGTAAACCTAATCACATCCCTATTGAAATCAGGCGGTCAACATTATTTTACGGAATGACATTTTGAAACGTCATTTTACTGCAGCTAATAAAAAGTCGAAGTATAATATTTTTTTGTTTTTTTAACTGATATGATTTTCAGTTCTTAAAATAGAATTATATGAAAACACAGTTTTATATATATTTTTTAAATATATTATGCATATTAAAATGATAAAAGTCCTATGTTAATTTTCATAAATAAAGTTATTTTTAAAAATGTTGCCAAACCTTTCATCGCTTAGTTTCATTTTGTATTGCTTTTCTTTGGCCGTACTTCAACAATACAATCATAAAGAAAAGTATACTAGAAAAAAAAACGCTTCGACGCGGCTAAGTAGCATAATGGTCAGTGCATTCACCCGGATTGCGAAGGATGCGGGTTCGAGTCCCGTCCGCTGCCTGGTCCGCGTGGATTTTTTTCTAGTAAACTTTTCTTTAGATTTAAACATCTAGCAGTTAAATGCTTAAAAATAAATAAAATCACAATATAATCATTTTTTTTTCATTAAACTAACTAACGAGATTGTATCAACCTATCAACGTACACATCGTACCGGGTCTCATCTCGACGAACGAGCAGTGTTGCTCGGCTCATTGCAGCGTGGTTCGCGCCAGATCTACGCTAAACTGTTGGTGGAGAGTATATCGACCTATCAATATACACATCGTACCGGGTCTCATCTCGACAAGAGAGCAGTGTTGCTTGGCCCATGGCAGCATGGTTAGCACCAGATCTACGCTAGACTTTTGGTGGGGAGTTTATCGACCTATCAATGTACACATCGTACCGGGTCTCATCTCGACAAGCGAGCAGTGTTGCTCGGCCCATAGAAGAGTGGTTCGCACCAGATCCGCGCCGCTTCCACAGGATACGCATGCGCTAAACGAGTCCACTAGCGCCGCTGCTACTACGCTAAACTGAATCAAGAGTGAAGGAACATAATTCAACATACGGTGAACAGAATATTATTCTGTATTATTATTTTTTATCTACTGATATAAAAAAAACATTAGTTAAAATCACTTAAAATAAACAAGTGCAAACACACAAAAAAAGAACTATCAAAGTTTTAACAGATTAAAAATTGTTTAATAAAACTGCATTGAATTTGTTTTCTATTTTATTAAACACCTGAAGAAAACTTAATTTCAATAAGGCAAATACGAATAGCCATGTGCAAATCAGAAGTGTAATATAGAATTTCATTGATTCATATTGTTCATAATATTTTACATTTTTCATATCTTCACTGATTAAATATTTTATGACCTTAAAATGAACCGGAAATGCAATTCATATTTTGATATTTGCAATTGTGTTTCATAGACAGACGCGGTCTGCGGCCCCGTCCGGGGTGATGACGCCTTAGTAGTATTCGCTTGCAATGTAAACACAAGTGACCAAATAGGGTTGGCCGCGGCCGCAGGCCGCCTCTGTATCAAATCTGGAATGCAAATTGAACTGTTCAATTTGTCAGTTTTATTTAGAACGCTTAAATCTGTCTATTTCAAATGTTCCATACAAATGTCGCTATTTTTAATCCCCTAAAAATAACGGATGGTATTAGTATTTATAATTATTCATTTTTGTTTGGTATGCTTCTATTCTATTCTTTTTAAAGGCAATAGTGTCGATGCCAATTTCGACAATTCTGTCAATATCAGAAAGTGATAATCAAGCGTTGTGTTTTATCAATTTGTTGAACAAGCTGCATTAGAAATCTATATTTTGTCCGACTATGGATTACAACGTGTATTCTTGTGGAACCTGTTGGTAAGTATGCTGCAACAAAGAGTTTCCTATGCTTGTAAGTAGTTTACATCCTTGGCTATAGCTGTCAAAAAATTCAAGGGCTTTATATTTTCTTTCGATTTAAACATATAGCAGTCAAATGCTTTAAAAATGAACATACAAAGTTTTATATTTTTCAAAGGATACGAGCCAATACTTCCAATTGTGCATGGTGCGATTGGCGACGTGCCTCGCAAACATTTCACGAAGGCGGCCGGCGCGGGCTCTCGATACTGGAGCTCCCGTCGCCGGTAACATCGAGTGGCAGTTGCTGGCAAACCATTATGAACCTTATTCAGCTAGCAATAAAGACTTTAAACATAACTAACGGACATCCGCGACTTCGAATGCGTTATCTTTAGTTTTTTGAGAATCCCACAGAAACCTAAAACTTTTCCGGGATAAAAAGTATCCTATGTCTCAATCCAGGTCATGAACTATATGCGCGAAAAATGTCATCCAAATCCGTTTAAGAGTTATTGCGTGATTGAGTAACAAACATACAAACTTACACATAAGTAGGATTAGTAGGATAGAGAGGAGCTGCGATCGAGATAGTTAAATAACTTTTGCAATGACCTCTCCCTACCCCACCGGGGTATGTAGGGCCAATGGTTAGAATGTCCAAGGTGACATCATAATGTCCAGATATTATAAAGACCGTAAGTCAATGTGTACAAGTCTCTGAATGTCTAAGAAGTCATAATGTCCAGACCGGGTAGCACGAGCACGTTTATCGCCGACATAAGGCATACGTCCCTCTCATAATAGTACTCAAATATTTGCCAACACGGGGCGAATGCTTTAAGACTCCTGTAGTCATAAAAATAAATAAATTTGAATTTATGCCGACTAATAAACGTGATCGTGCTAGCTGGGCAGATGTTATAAAACCCATTACAAGTGTTTTCTTTAGGAACTTGTGGTATTAGGATTCCTTAACCAAAATGGCAAATACTGAACCCTCATAGTTTTATCACTTAAGTCCCGTATTTCACAGGCATTTTACTGAAAAACATCAATGATATGAAGATACGCTCTTTTGTACATCGAATTATTTTCATCAGTAGCTATACCTAGTGCATTTCTTAGTATTCAGCAACGGCTTCGGGACCCTACTCTGAGCATGGTTTATCTAGCTGATGCTGGCTTACGATATCCATGTCATTAGTGACACTTCATAATACTTAAACTCTCTTTGGTAATCAATTCCGATAGATAATGGATATTGGCTTGAGAGGCTATTACTGATTAATAATAAAATAAATGAAGTTTTTAACTATTTGTTGTTTTGGTAACTTGTCATTATGGCAATTAGGCATTTTAGCAATTTGTTGTTTTGACACCTGGATATTGTGACAACTGGGTATTCTATCAATTGGATAATTTGATAATTAGACATTATGAAAATTTTATTTTTTAACAATTCGATGTTTTGAAACCTGGATTTTAGGACAACTGAGCATTTTAACGATTGGGCATTATTTCCTGTGACACACTGGACTTCTGACACTTGACCTAAAATACCTCGGTCATTGGATCGATGACCAAAAACTTATTATCTCGAGCTTCTCCGTGCTTCGGAATGCACGTTAAGCAGTTGGTCCCAGCTGCATCTGCAGTCTTAAGCACCAACCAATACGCACTGGGCCCGCGTGAGGTATGCATCAACCAATCTCCCAATTCCATCCATAAGAGAGGACTGTGCCCCAGCAGTGGGGACATTAATAGGCTGATGATGATGATGACTAAATAAAGATACAAACATATTATTGATTAAAATCGTACAGGCGGTAAGTGATCGCGCGAGATACGGGAGCGCCCGTAGCCGGCAACATTGAGTGGCAGTTGCTGTTGCTGTAAGGTATTATAAACCTTATGTACTTTGCATTAAACACCTATATTATCTATTTGGTTCTCTATGTAGTATTACTATGTATTATATATAACGGTAAATGTTGAAAAAAAAAAGCAATAAAAAGCTGACTTACGAGATAGAATTATTTAAGCTTTCCGTTTGCTGTTTCAAACTTTCCATTTCTTCTTTTATTTGATTTCTTTCTGCTTTTAGCAGTTTTATATATTCTGCTCCCTTTTGTAACATAGCTGCTTTACTTATCTGTAATAATACAAATCAGTTCAAGTTAATTTATGTCTTAATAGTATACATTGTGACGCAGACAATGGTCTAGCTAGCTCGATTCTGACGTGATTCTCTAAAATTAAAATTAAATTTGACAACAGTGTATCATTTTAATTCTCTATACATAATGCAAAAGAGAGACTGCTATTTAAGTTAGCTTTAAGTTTAGAGAATCATGCCAGAATCGACCCCAAAAGTGTAATAAACCATTTTTTTCTTAAGTTACTTTTAAACAGATAAGTTACAGTGTTTATCAATATGGTGGATGACTCATTATTGATAAAGGCTAGTAGTTAAGGCGAGTTGTATATAGGTATCCTAAAATTAAAAAAAAAACACTCTCTGAGATGAGTTTTTTATCAGCAGCTCCACTGCTCCGCTGCTTCTGCTCCACGTTCAGATATTATTCACAGCGTTCATTATCTGTCTGTCTCTCTCTCTCACCTTAGCCGCTGGGTTCGCGTAGGGGCGCGGTATTAGCGCCTGCTAGGTATCAAATCCGTTCTTGATGTTGTAGCGCCGCTTCTGTTCCGCGTGTAAGTATTATCTACAGCGTTTACTCTCTCTCTCGCTCACACACTCTCCATCTCTTTCATACCTTAGCCGCTGTGTTCGCGTTGAGGTGCGGTATTAGTGCCTGCAAGGTATCGAACCCGTTTCCGGTGTTGTAGTGCCATAACTATACTGTACTTACAATAAAGTCACACAGAAAAGTGTAAAAAAGACAAGTACCCTTCTCTCACTCTCACCTTAGCCGCTGGGTTCGCGTTGAGGTGTGGTATTAGCGCCTGCAGGGTATCGAACCCGTTCTTGATGTTGTAGCGCCGCTTCTGCTCCGCGTGCAAGTGAGTGCGCCGCGGCTCACGCGGAGAACCGGCGCGAGGCGAGCCCGGCGACGTGGGCGGCGATAATGACTAACCAAACCAAGCAGTATTGCGCTTTTAAACTTAATTTATTGATATCTAATATCTAAAATTCTCGTGTCACGGTGTGCCTAATTGAACTCCTCCTCATTTATGATGAGTATGTACGTTAAATATGTGTGAAATATTTTATTTTCTTATTCATATATATGAACCAGCTTTTAAAATAATTAACTCAATGTTTCCCTTCATTTCCTATGTAAATAGTATTTTAGACGGTGACAACGTTGGCCAGCGCGCGTGGTCCTCTGAAGGAAAGGGGAAGGTGGAATAAGAGAGAATAATAATGTGAATAGAATATAGTTGTTCTATAAATAAATAAGGCAGTAAACGCTCGCCGCTTTTGTTCCGTGTGCAAGTGAGAACAGCGCGGTTCACGCGGCGCGGCGTATCATAATTAAATTTTTGTCGAAATCGATTCTGAAGCCAATTCCAACGAAACTACTTTTTTCCCCTTTAAAAGTTCTATAAAAATGTCCGGGACAGTATATGTCCATCTTTGCAGTTTCATTCACTATAAACTTTTTCCTCAAATCAACGCGAGGAAACCGCAGTGGACATATCGTTGTGACATAACTGTAATAGATAGACATGATATCGCGGACTTTTTTAATTGATACTGATGTCTTCAAAAACAGTTCAGTACATCACTTTGCTCAATTGTTAATGACTTCCACAGCGTACGCGATAGAAGGTCATTCTTTGGTATTTTTTTCATACGTTGGGTTAGGTACATTATCGAAGTTTTCATACGGAAACCTAACTTTTTCGGAAATACTTTAAAGCCTATGTTTATTAGGGATAATGTGGGATTCTAAATGCGAAAGAATTTTACAAATCGGTCCAGTAGTTTTGGTATAGATGAATATTAGTATAGATGCGTGTATGTTAAGCTGTGTTTGTGGGCATATTCCCCCCATATAAATTAAAGACTAGTTTAATTAATATTATGTCAATGCCAAATAGGTATATTGGTTCAGGTTTTTCAATGACTATTAGGAAGAAATTTGGGAATATTGGAAATAAAGCACGAAAGTTACTCTTTCTCGAGGAAAAAATCTTTTATATGAAGGGAATGGATACTAACTACAGACAGCCTAATTATTTTTTTATTATTTTAGCTTTTTTAAGTGAAGTATAGAATCTTTAAGTTATTAATTGAGACCTATACATAGATACATTGTACAGGGTCTGTTAATGAAGTAGCACAAGAGGATCAATTACTAAGGAAATACACCATATTTACGAAACCTCTTCGGTGTTTTTTGTTTATTTTTATAAACTTACCTTACTACTTAACTTACTTGATGTGGTGACATGACGTCGCTGCCAATAGGTGACGGTTGACCTTTCCTAATGGGTGATCTCGTGGGGTCAGTGCCTAGTAGGCCTTCTTCTGTACTACTATTAAGCTTATATGAGCTTTTAGCTGGAAAATATATGTAATACACATTCAACGCTTAATTCTTTATAATATGTAGTTAATTAAAGTATCTACAGATTTTTTTGTGAAATTATTACAAGAACATAGAACAAATTCTACAAAACCAACTTAATTTTATAAGAAAAAAATAGACTATTCTACATTTAGTAGTTTTAATATCCAAAAGCGTAAGCGAAAAATTACTTTTGCTATATTGAAAACGATAAACAGCAAGGAGTTACAGCACGACGCACACAAAACTACAGAATATTGTTGTTTCAGTACAGTCAGATGAAAGGTGGAGGATAGTTCGGAAGTCTCAATTCGAGCCTTTATCAGAGATATTGTAATGCATATTAATACAAATAAGAAAGAAAGTTTAAAGCGGAAATGCATGAAGTTTACAAAAACAACTTTTTCTCTCCGTCAATTCCTCAAATATAAATGCAAACACGTAACAATCATCTAACATCGTAATAATAAATAATCGTAACAAATCAGGTAAGCCGTCAGCTCGTATAGTAGCAATAGCAATTATAGTTATGATTTTAAATCAAAAATCAAAACTATAATTGCTATTTCTTCTTTCAAATGTTTAATACTTGAAAAAGTATTCATTTGACATTGTGGGTTACCTACAATGCGAAGAGATGGCGCTGCCTTGCAGCTTAAGGCTAGGAAAATTTCAACGCGGCTAATAGGGCCGTGGTAGCATAATGGTCAGTGCATTCGCCCGGATAGCGAAGGATGCGGGTTCGAGTCCCATCCGCTGCCTGGTCCGCGTGGATTTTTTTCTAGTAAACTTTTCTTTAGATTTAAACATCTAGCAGTTAAATGCTTAAAAAAAAATCATAACCAAAATTTTTTTTTTTAGTTTGTTTGTATGTCCCGGATAAACTCAAAAGTACTGCATGGATTTACTCCAATTTTGCCACGAATATTTTTAAGAAGTCGGGTCAAGTGTCTAGCAATACCTATTTCTTTAGTGTAATAGCATCAAAGGGGTATTCGTTTTTTAATTCTATAATCTTTAACTTGTATACTCACAGTGCTGAGCGGACAGAAGTTGGGCGAGCATGACGCTCGCTTGCGGCAGACTTGGCTCTGACGCCACGCTGTTGAGGGGTGGAGGTAGTCTCCCTCCCCCTCCTTCCCCCGCCCCTACACCCCCGGATGTCGATCGAGATCGCATTCGTACGCTGCTTGTACTTTCGCGCGGCTGTGGACAAAATATTCATCACATAGGGGCCGTTCAAGTTTATGTAAGCAGATTTTTTACAATTTAACTTCCGGTTAAAGTGACATTACACTATATGATTTGACGTTTTGATGATTGCCGTGTTTCGTCACACACCAGTGAGACTCCTTATTGTCCAAAGAAACGTTTTCGCTGAAACTTGAAAATTGAATTTTTGACTTAGTTTTTTTTTTACTAAAATACGCTACAGAATGATGAATATCCACTTTTTATGGACAACAAAAAATATTTAATAACGTGGGATCATTTTAAAGTTGTCAAATACCGTATTGCGGTCTCGTCTCTAAGGGTTGTGGGAGGAGGTGTGTTTGTAGTCGCAACCGCTAGCGACCAATCAGCGTTGATATGAGCACCCAGCAGTAAGCTATGCGACTAATCAGCGTCAAGGTGTAGTGTAGTGGAATGTATCTTACCCGCGGTGTGTGGTCTTGTCTCTGCGGATCGTGGGAGGGGGTGTAGCAGCGAAGCGACCAATCAGCGATGAGGTAATCACCTAGCTGTAAGCTGTGCGATCAGTCAGCGTCGAGGTGTAGTGTAGTGGAATGTATCGCATCCGTGGCGTGTAGTCTTTTCTATACGGTTCGTGGAAGAGGGGCGTGGTTGTGGGCGCGGCCACCAGCAACCAATCAGCGTTGAGATAACCAACTAGCTATAATCTGTGTGACCAATCAGCGTCGAGGTGTAGTGTAGTGGAGTGTATCTCTGCGTGTTGTCTCGTCTCTGCGGGTCGTGGGGAGCGTAGTTGGGGCCGCGCTGCCAGCGAGCAATGAGTCTTGAGACAAGCTCCCAGCTGTAAGCTGTGCTTCCAATCAGCGTAGAGGACTAGTGTAAGGGAGTGTATCTCACCCTCGGCGTGTGGTCTCGTCTCTGCAGTTCATGAGAGGGGGGCGTGGTAGTGGGCGGGGCCGCCAGCGACCAATCAGCATTGAGATGAGCTCCCAGCGGTAAACTATGCGATCTGTACTGCTCTTGAGGACGTGATCCCGACGCGGGCGAGTTCACACTCGCTAACTGTATTTAAAAACCCAAATACATTATATTGAACGACATATTATAGTAATACCAATATTTCACATTTTTAGCTAAATTCGATTTTGAGCTAGACCCAGTAACAAAACACTATAAGAAAGAACAGTGAGGAGGTTAATAGTTAGTAATTTAGATTAATCGGGAATTCCGTACGCGCATTGCATAAAACGTCAGAGCAAACTTTTCGGTCAGAACATTTGCTCTTATGATATCAGTTTGCTGTACGATATTCAACCCAAGATGAATCCCAAACTAAAGCATAACTACATTTTAAAATAAATAGCAAGTAAAACACATACCGGATGGTGCTGCGTAGGGGACGGCGCTAATGGTGGCGAAGGCATCTTAAAAGGACGCGTGTTGTTCTGTGGCGGCTTCGGTTTGTACCCTTCCGCTGGCTGCAAGTACTGTAGCTGCGGAGACGATTGCCGTTGCTAAACCAATCAAAATAGAATCGTCAATCTAGCAAAAACTAGCCTGAAATAAGAGTCCTCGCAGATCGATATTTTATCGATCTTGAAAAGAATATACATGGCTCGTAACGCGGAAGTCATATAAAGTAACTAGATAACTATAAAATTATTGTTAGATTTTGATATTTCAAATACATTTTTATTTTTAACTCCTACCTGTTAACTACCTACATAAAGATCATATTTTTTTATTTAAGAGTTTGTAGGTGCATAGTATGTAATAATGCAATAATAATATTAATAATAAAATTCCGCAAACAGACAAATTAATAAGGTCACGATATATTAAGTTGGCATGTTATATTACGCAATTATAATTTACTTTTAATTTACATTATAATAATAAAAACACTCTCTGTTCAACCTTGTTTCAATTACCATCTCCGATCTTAACTTCATCACCTGGTAATCACCACATTAGTGACCCCGCGTAAAATTCGTACGTAATTACATTCAAAAAGTGAAGATGAACCCCATTGGAGAGCAGCCTTATCAGTGCTTAGGAATGCCCAGCAGCCACGCGCCCAAAACCAATACAACCCCTGCATCAAGTTCGACTTCAGTTGACAAGGAGCTAGCTGCAATTACAATATCAAGCAAAATCGCGGACTTTTGGACAGAAATGCCAAGACTGTGGTTCGCACAATTTGAGACCATCATGGCACCACAAAAACAGGGAGATGAGTCAAAATTCAACATTGTCATATCCAAACTGGGACGCGACTCCATCCAACAGGTCAGCGATATTTTACTCGCGCCTCCAGCTGAAAACAGATATAAAATTCTCAAAGACAGATTACTTGCTGTATATGAAGAATCCGAAGAACGTCAATTCCAGAAGCTCGTCAGCGAGATGGAGCTCGGCGACCAGAGACCTTCACATCTACTGCGACGCATGAGACAGTTGGCTCAGAAAACACAAGTAACGGATTCAACTTTACACAATTTATGGACATCTCGGTTACCAGCTCACGTTCGCGCCGTGCTGACTGTGAGTCAGGACCAAAACCTAGATAACTTAGCCGCCATAGCTGATAAAATTATGGAGAATAACCGTCAAACGACGCTCGTGCCCACCGTGTCGATGAGATGCGCCGCCTCTACGCCGCTGCTGCGGCGTAGAGGCGGCGCATCAAGGCAGAGAGAGGCACAAGTCAACCCTGCATTCATCCCGTGAAGTGAATAGGTTCAAAGTGAACAGTGCAGTGTCAGTGCAAGTGAAAGTTAGCATAATATTAATATTATATATTTTTAAGGTATTTGACATACAGTTTTATATACAAGATACATAAAGGGTTTGGCTTTGAATTTACAATGTATGATTTATTTTCTTGTTTATTATGTTTTTTTTGTTGTTTTTATTTCTAATAAAGGGGGGAATACTGTAGGTGCATAGTATGTAATAATGCAATAATAATATTAATAATAAAATTCCGCAAACAGACAAATTAATGAGGTCACGATATATTAAGTTGGCATGTTAAATTACGCAATTATAGTTTACTTTTAATTTACATTATAATAATAAAAACACTCTCTGTTCAACCTTGTTTCAATTACCATCTCCGATCTTAACTTATCACCTGGTAATCACCACAAGTTAAATATGGTGTTAAATTTAGCGAATTACACGACACGGCCTTTCATTTTTATACAAAAATAATCTTATATTATTTCTCTTCTTCTCCTATTTCCTTTCACCATAATTTGAGAACAATTTTATCGAAATCATCAATCTTTTATTTTTTTAAATTGCCTTTATATTTTTTTTTTCTTTTTATTTATTTCTAGCAATCAAAAATCGTCGTTGCAATAGAATGGTAGAGCTCGATGGCGCAGGTGGTTAACGCGTTCGGCTGCGATCGTTGAAGTTAAGCAACTTTCGCAGTGGTCGGTCATTGGATGGGTGACCAAAAATCTTCTACCTTGAGTTCCTCCATGCTTCGGAAGGCATGTTAAGCCATTGGTCCCGGCTGCATCTGCAGTCGGTAGCACCCGCCAATGCGCACTGGGCCCGCGTGGTGGGTCATGGCCCAATCTCCCTATTCCATCCATAGGAAAGGCATGTGCCTCAGCAGTGGGGACATTAACAGGGCTGATGCTGATAGAATGGTTTAAAATATAACGGTTCTATTCACCTCTACAGGGCGCGCGGGCCCTGGGGCGGGCGGAGCGTAGCTCACGGCAGCATACTGCGGGCCGTAGTGCGCACCGCGAGACAGGCGGGGCTTATCTCTCGCCGAGTATCCTCGCCCCGCCCCTATGGAAGTGTACTTCGGATTCTGAACTGGTTGCTGGAGTAATGTCACCGTTTCCGGAGCGGTCTGCGATGGCGGCACGCCTGATCAACATAAACCATACAGAAACAAAATTGATTGAGCAATCCATACTAATATTATTAATGAGAAAGTGGGTCTGTCTCTTCTACACGCTAAAACTGCTAAATCTCAGAAATCGTCATTTAACGAAGCTGGAAGTTTGTATGAGAAATCAATTGGACTACGCAGTGCAGATGTAAAAATGTATCAATTTAATGCTTGAGTGAAATAGATATTTTGCTTAGAAACATGAGCAATATAAGCTTATCTTTTACTAAACTTTTACTAATCGATAGTGTAGCCAGCTAGTATGTAAAATGTAGCGAAGCCGCTGGCATAAGCCCACTTTAATTTCTATTCAGCATTAAAATGATAACAAATAATCTGCGGCTTTATGCCAGTTTTGCATGCTAATGCTAATAATCTCAACAAAAAATCTCACTGGCGTTCCTACCGACATATGTATACGCCACAGAGTAATATACAGGGTGGCCGGGGAGTTGACGTTCAAGCATAAAATTTAGATACTTTATGATGAGGAGTATCCAAATCACCCCCATGTATGTTCTACGATTTTGCGTAGTTTTCGAGTTATAATTTTTTTAATGATTTTTTTCGTAATTACCACCTAACATCCGTTTTTTATTTTTTTCTCATTCTGTTGGACGTTTCTGGTTCAGTTTTTTTTATGATAACTGACTAACATAGTCTAACCTAGCACCCTAAAACTTATGGTTTATCTGGGCATTGCAGAATTCACTTAGAATTTTTTCAAAAGTTCAAAATTACGATTTGAGCTCAGTACACACAAATTTTCAAAGTATCAAAAAAAAATGTAAATGGGGGGATTTTGAGTTCAAAGTGCTTTTAAAAACTTTCTGAAACATTAAACTTTAAAACAAGGTCAAATAAAGGTAGGGTTTATGGGGATTTTTTTCTGTAACAGACCTTCAAAGTAAATTAAGGCATTTTTGAAGGAAAAAAAATAATTATTTTCTTTCATTTAAATCTTTGCCTATCTCTCAGTTATGATGGATTTGAGTAAAACACAGTTGTTAATGACCTAAATTCTACTACTACTTACTCACTCGTCTTATTCTGCCGTTTTCTCGACCACTATTTGCCTACTGATACCGTCGCTGCTTACTTGTTTGACCCCCCCCCCCCCCCTCCCTGCTTGTTACTGGATTCCGTAGTGTCTAACGATTTGGACTGTAGTTACTTGGAAGTGTTAGTGATGCCCTACACTCTGAGTGAATATGCAGAAATGCATTATTTCTACGGGGATCAACTTCAACGCTGAGGCGGAGCGCAACCTGATCATTACCCTGACTATCATGTGTACATGAATACTCACAATACGTTAACGGCAGGCCGCATTCCTGGCCAACGTGGCGGTGAAGGCGTTCAGAGGGTTGATCAGGAACGCAGGGAAATCGTACTGGAAGAAGTGCAACGCAATAGTAGTACAAGTACGAGAGCATTAGCTCGTAACCTTGACTTACCAAGATCTTCAATACAGGATATTTTGCGTGAGGAATCACTTCACGCCTACCACATACAAAAAGTACAAGCGTTGCAGCCTTCAGATTATCAATTATTGAGAGTCGAGTTCTGTGGAACTATGTTGCAGAAAGAGGAAGAAGATCCCGGATACTTTAATAGAATCTTGTGGACAGACGAGTCAAGATTTGAGCGAACTGGGATTTTCAATATCCACAATTTTCACATTTGAGCCGTCGAAAATCCACATGCCGCCAGACCATCATCATTATAACATCGTCTTAGCGTTGACATGTGGTCTGGTGTTTTGAATGGCGAATTAATAGGCGCATTTGAACTGCCATCGAGATTAGACGGCGACACATACAAAAGTTTATTAGAAGACAATCTACCCATATTACTGGAAGATGTAAATCTTGAATTAAGAAGAACGATGGTATTCCAGAACGACGGGGCGCCATGTCATTACGCGACACAAGTGCATCGCCATTTAGTGGTCTAAGGTCTGGTGATCTACCCCAACAGGTGGATCGGACGACAAGGGCCAATTGCCTGGCCCCACGCTCGCCTGACCTCAACCCTATTGATTTTTTTATCTGGGGCTACTTTAAAGAAATTGCGTTCGCCAGAGAAGCTTCGAGTGAAGAAGAACTGAGAGCAAAAATTCGCGAAGCTGAAACCACTGTCAAAAATAACCGTGAAGCTTTTAGGCACCTAAAACTTATTTTTTTGCGCAGATGTAGATTGTGTATTTCTGTGGGAGGGCAAAATTTTGAAAATTTGCTATAAATTAATGTATTTTGTTCACAATTAACTGCGTTTTACTCATATACATCATAACTCATAGAAAGTCAAAGATTTAAATAAAATAAAATAATTCCTTTGAAAATGCCTTAATTTACTTTGAAGGTCCGTTACAGAAAATAAACCCCCATTAACCGTTTCTTTATTTGGCCTTGTTTGAAAGTTTAATGTCTCAGGAAATTTATAAAAGCACTTTGAACTCAAAATCCCCCCATTTACATTTTTTTTGATACTTTGAAAATTTGTGTGTACTGAGCTCAAATCGTAATTTTGAACTTTCGAACAAATTCTAAGTGAATTCTGCAATGCCTAGATAAACCATTAGTTTTCGGGTGATAGGTGAGACTATGTTAGTCAGTTATTACAATAAAAACTGAACCAGAAACGTCCAACAGAATGAGAAAAAAATCGAAAACGGATTTTAGGTGGAAATTACGAAAAAAATCATTAAAAAAATTATAACTCGAAAACTACGCAAAATCGTAGAACATACATGGGGGTGATTTGGATACTGCTCATCATAAAGTATCTAAATATTACGCTTGAACGTCAACTCCCCGGCCACCCTGTATATACTTTTAATTTACGTTATCTATTACAATGACTCTTAGATCTTTGTAGTTGACCTCTACATTTTCTTTCAATGTATGTCCCATATAATATTAAAGAGTGACTAGATTCGAACCAGCAACCATCGCAATATGCCTGTCGGAGCCCAAAACCGACAAAGTTGCTGATAAATTAGTTAAAAATATCACTAATATAAATGTATCAATCAACAGTATTAAATTAAACTAGTTTTTAGCGCTCAATAGGTCTTTCGAAGGTAGCTCGACAAAGTAATTAAAAAAAATCATTATTCTGACGACGCAGACCTGAAAAGGCAGCGAAAAGTCAATAAATAAATAAATTCGTGCGTTAACCCGTTAAAAACTAGAAACCAGAAACTAGAACCCTAAGAAACAAATAAATTCAACAGTATTGTTTTATAATCATCAAAGCCAATTACGCATTGCCTTAATCTGGAACCCTAGTCGCGCCACCAATCTTATCACACAACATGACAATAAACTTAAGCCTTATCGCAAGGAAATCACTTGGGTAATCTTTGGCGGCGAGAAGAAAATCCTGATAAATGTCTATTGTCCACTTCAGCGATCCTCTTATTAACTTGCACAACTACTACTGCTATCTTCTATGGCCTGCGCAGACGAAGGACTTTCAAAAATCCCTGAATCGTTAAGAAAATGTCCGCCGAGGACTTGTCACGGACTCAACGCACACGATGTACGAATTTATGTCGCCCGAAAGTACAGGCGCAGGTTATGGAAGTAAATATTCTCAGATTACGTTTTGTTGTAATCAACATAAAGTTTAAGAAAAAAGAAAACGTTTTAAAAGAGAATACTGGATCCATTTCTATAAATCAGATCGAGCGGACTAAGGCTGCGTTTCCACCAGAGATGTGCGAGGATGCATAGCGAGGGATGTGTTTGTAAAGAACCAATAGAATCGCTCCATTTACCTCGCCTCGGTCAGCACAGCTCTGGTGGAAACGGCTCAGCGGAGGTAGATTTTTGCGCATACAAAACAAGCGAGGGATGTGTGCGAGGGATGTGTTGCGAGGAATATGGGTTGAGAAGGATGTGTTGCGAGGTTTGCGCATACTGTACCAGCTAGTCCAGTTTGTTGGTAGTAGAAGTGCACAAAATAGATATGGATAATTGGAAAAAGAAGATACTTTTATATTTAACAATTTGCGATAAAGAAATGGAAGCAGAAGATAAAGCAACACATCCTCGCACCACACATTAATGCGCATTTCACAGCACCGCTACACATCGTCGTAGGCACATTTTCATCGCACAGCTTTGGTGGAAATCCCCACCCATTTTCACAGCACAGCTGGACATCCTCGCACGACACATTTCCATCGCACATCTCTGGTGAAAACGCAGCCTAAAGGTCGCTGTGCACGTTGCTGCGCCTAGTCACGTGAATACTCCCGCGTAATTTTGTCCGGACAGGACAAAATTACGTCTCTTAGTGTTCTCGGTTGTTCGGGTATATTTGTAAGTGATACTTTTAAATTTTAATCCATCGTCTGCGTTACTAAATGCAATTTTTAGCGATCTATATCGGCGGACAAAAGTCCCACATCTGCACAGGTTATAATAGAGAAGCAGAGAATCGGGGGGGGGGCAGAATACTAGAGCAAAATTAGAACTACTACTGGGCCATACCCTGAAATACCAAAATCCTGAATAGTCTTTATCTACGTAGGTATCTAATAAAGTTAGGAGCTTGTTTATTTTTACTAGCACTTCCAATCCCGTGTCGATGTGAAGCTAAAGCTCAAACCAATATTGAATTTCAAGAGATGAATTCGATCTCGATATGACGCGTATCGAATGTCAAGATTTTTTGTGGAAATTGAAACAGAGCTACAGCAGACAGGTGAATCTACTAGGATTTTGCGGTTGGTTTTTCCACAATCGTTATTTCTCTTCGCGTTATTCACACTTTTCATAACATTTACATTTTAAACACAGCTGAAACATTGTTAATATAGGTGTCGATTCTGGCGTGATTCTCTAAACTTAAAACTAAATTTAACATCAGTCTCTCCTTTTCATTCTGTATAGAGAATGACAAGGATACACTGTTGTCTAATTTAAGTTTAGATTTAGAGAATCGTGCCAGAATCGACACCATACAATAGTGTCAATCCGAATTACTTTTCGTCACTGTAAAATTGTGAGATGAGAGCAATTACAAACGTAGAACTGCATAACCTTATGAGCTTTACCCGGACGCTGATATTAAAATGAATTTGACGCGCATTGAGATCGAATTCGATATTGGTTCGTGCTAGGTCTATGTTTTGAGAGAACTATTGAACACAGAATTTGGAGCGAAACAATCAAGAGAAATTATGTTTTCGTGTATTATTTGTTTGGTTTTTTGTTATAAAAGTAACAAATATACTTTTTTTTGTAAAAAAATAATTTTAAATATAAAAAGGTAAAAAGTCAATATTCTTGCAATGTAACTGAAAGTTTCTATTAAAAGCGAGTTTATACATTGAACTACCACATAAGTTTATCGGAATTCTTTCATGACTTCTAAGATCCGATACAATACAAGATAGAAACGCAACTCACCCGTATTGTATTTATAATAAGGTTCAGATTGCGGCACAATTTTGGTCGGTTGGCTCCGCTTGGCGAATACGTTTGGCATGTGCGCGTCGTCGTAAGAATAAACGCCCATCTCTGACATCATGGCTGGCATCTCTTGGCCGAACATTCTGGCACTTTCGTAGCGCAACTGTTCGCTCTTCACACTATCCCCCGATACCATCATCTGAGTGTTGCTACTTGTACCTCCTGAAACAAAACCTCCGTAAGTATCGTCAAAGGCCCCAGCACGAAATTTGCAGGACCGTAATCGTATCGAATCTTCAAAGTTTCTATGAAAACTAAGCAGCGCCCCTACCGGGCGATAGAGCAAACTGGCTCATTCCATACAAAATTTGACGATGACGATACGATTACGGATCTGTCAAAATTCGTGGTTTGGTCTCAGTTCAACAACCATCTGAATTATATACTACACATACTTCACGGAAATAGGGATTACATTAATTTACATATAATATACACACATCAAAAGTGTCTAGGGATCAACATATATTTTTGCAATAACTTTTCTCCTGATTGATATTAATTAAAATTTTCTTTAAGGATTCATCAAATAAAGTGTTTTCATTTGTCACAGTAACGATAAACCAAGTCACCTTTGCATTAATAAAGAAATTTGCCATTTTCCTAATAAAGGGATTTTTGACATTTGAACCACTAACACAAAAGTTCGAAAAAAAGACTGAAATAACAGTTTTCTCTAAAATTTTATTGGGTAACTTAAACAATTAATAATCCGTATTTCTACCGCGAACACTAACAACACAAGAACATCGGTTTGGCATACTCAAAATGAGTTCATCCAAATCACGCTGTGGAATGGCCGCCCATGTTCGTTGCAACAACAAAAAAAGGTCTTCTTGCGACTGGATACCCTCCATATTCGGCAGAGCTCTTCTCTGTAGCATATCCCATGCATGCTCAATCGGGTTCAAGTCTGGCGACTGAGCAGGCCAGGGCAGGACATTGATGTTAGCTGCGGCGAGAGTCTGTCTTACAACTCTTGCGGTGTGCGGTCGTGCATTATCATGCATTAACTGAAATAAGGGACCGATTTGCACTTGTAGAGGAACGATGACGTCTGATACAATCGTCTCAGCATAAATTTGAGCGTTGAGGTTGCCTCTGATCCAAATCAACTCAGTTCTTCCGCCGATCCAAATACCCGCCCATACCATGATGGTTCCACCACTATAAGGATGGACTTCCTGGCAGGATTTTAATCGCTGTTGGCGTCCAGGGGTTCTCCAGTGTCGTATACGTCTTGTATCCGGTCTCATACCAAAACGAGACTCATCAGAAAAGCACACGAAACGCCATTGTTCTTCTGCCCAATTTCTGTGTTCAAGAGCCCATTGATATCGAATCCTACGATTGTGCATTGCTATAGGTGGTACCCGTAGCGGTCTTCGGGAATGAAGGTCAACCGCTTGCATGAAGCAAGCGGTTTCTGACTGTTTGGTCGCTAATTAAGTTCCCTGAAGAGTGATGAAGCCTCACGGCTAACATCATGGCGGTTATTGTTGGAGCTCTTCGAGTTAAGATTTGAATGTATCGGTCTTGTCTCCGTGTGGTGCAGCGATACCGTCCTCCATGGCGCTCAGCCACGGTACCAGTGCTTCGGTATCGTGTCCAAAGTCGACTGATAACACTCTGACTTGTATTCAGAGCTAAAGCCACAGTACGTTGCCGGGAACCAGCTTCTATCATTCCCACGGCTCTGAGCATTTCTTCCCTGCTTAAATGACGTCGCCGCTCCATAATAACGTTGGTTTTAATCAGTAGTAGGGAAACAGTAGCACTAATAACGTCTTCAATGCGTTGTATGTTTTTATAGGGAAAATATTGACAGCTGATTTTCATCTTTTACTCGAATTTGATTCACAGTTCCTGATTCAAATTATGAAATGCACCAAAAAGGATCCATATAAATTTATAAAATCATAAATTTATTACAAAGCCACATCTCAATCTCAAGAAATCCGCATAAAAATGCTTGATCCCTAGACACTTTTGATGTGTGTATATTCCGTATTCCATGTCTGCATACGAATAAAAAACACTGTTCCAATGGCTACAACCTTCTGTTAAGTGGAAATTGCTTCCCCCGACGGGCACTCCAATTCAGATGACCTCTGTTGATGGAATGATATGTTAAACTAAGTACATACACAAGGTGTCGCCTACTCGTCTATTCAAATCCCAAATTCCCACCCATCCAATGACCGACCACTGCAATGGTCTTCCAACTATCACAACCGAACGCGCTAACCACTTATGCCATCGAGCCCCGGAATCATATATATTTCTAAAAAACTATACTTATCTATACATAGAATATGTATTAATTTTGTAATTCTAATCGTTCATTTAGTAGTAGTAATAACAATAACACAAGCCTTAAAGTGCTTATTTTGGGGTCTAGGCTAATTTGTGTACATAGGAAATATTTATTAATTTTTTTATCATTAGACTGACTAGAATAGTATACAGTATTAGTACTCACCATGTAAAGACCCTTGGCTGGTAGGCATGGTAACGGCGTTGCTTTGACTAATAGCAATGTACGACTGTCCGTACGTATCCACGGACATACCGCTACGATATGAATCCTCTGAAGGAAGCGCGCTCTCTTCGGGCACTGGCGGCAATCGCGGCGTCGCGGAAAAAAGCTCTACAAAACCCAGATACAACACATTTTTATTAGTAGTAATAAATTCTGGCAGTCTAAAATAGCGATAGATAGTATGAAACATTTTAAAATTTTAATAATACACTATTTGAACGAGTATAAATCACAATGTACTTAGTGTAACATTATAATATGTAATTATTTTTGTTTGTTTCACTCACAATTTAATTACTCTTGTTTTGAGACCTTTGTATAATGTATCCCTTTACTAGCAAATTCAGATAACGATTTAGGTTATATTTCCGCAAACAAATGGTTTCCTTCATAAATTATTATTGGCGTTCCGAATTTATTTGGCTCCGTGGTCGAGAGTATACGAATCTTGCAACCACAGAGCCTTTATATATTCCTAAAGTTCATAAATAATGTAAAATTGTATAAATGTGACTTATATAAGTTCAAAAAGTGTTTTGTGGAATGATTGGTGTGCTTGAAAACAATAAGTTTCATCTAAGTAAAAGAACAACTCACATCAACAAAAGGCTATTAAACATAATGAAAAATAAAGTACCAATTTGTTATTTAACTACTCTTGCATGTTATTAAACTACTCTTGAATATTGGAAGCGAATTCCTATTAGGACAAAAAAAAAAGTAGTCGAAAATATTACTAAACATCGTGAAATATTTATTTCTGATATAACCTAAAGTTACCTAAAATGAGATCACTATCTTGTTAACACATAAGACATTTTAATGAGAACCGTGCAACGACGTCACCTGCTTGTAAGACGCCATATTTGCAAGAGGAGCGTTTCCGCGGCATATTTGAAACATAATTAACACATAATTTTTATTTCGTTTTTTTTTTAATGATGTAGGCAACAGAATTATATATATCTGTTACGCTCAAAGATCGAAAACGCTCAGTGAGCGGAAAAATAGCTCACAACGCGTTGTGGTCACAGTAAAACATCCACATGGCGAAATTCGTATTATGGCTCTAATGAAAACGCGCACGACGCGTTGTGGCAATCACAGAATGACCAAATAGCGAAATTCGTGTCATGGCTGACATGCTATTCGATCTCAACGCGTTGTGGCATTGAAGAAAAGCCATGACGCGTTCTGAGCATTCATTGTTTTAACCATATCACGACGGACAGGTTGTAAGTTGATAGAGGACGTGCAGCACCCAGGAATGTTATGTGTGTTGTTATGAGCATTAATCCATCAGGTCTCTACCAGTTAGGAAACAAAGAAGGTACATTCGATAGACTTTAAGCACGTAATGAGTTTACACTTTCTGAAACCAACTTTATTAACATTTGCGATGTGCTCTCAACTTCGTCATTAACACTTCGCTCAGCATCTATGTTATCATCTGGAAGTAAGCAAGGGTTTATAATGTGCCACTGCAAAAGATACTGTATTGATAAAAAATGCAAGTGTCGCTCCAAGAATATAAAATGCAACTCAAAATAATTATAGTAATTTCTAATACACTTCTGGACACATCTATTGGCCCACCTTGTATTTTCAGTTTCGTTTGGTCCTAGCTAAAATTTTATATTAGGTCGAGCAAAGTTTTTATGCAGTTTTGAACCTGGCACATTCACAATTTCATTCAATAGTCTTTTTTTGAATTTCGAACACAGAATTTAAAGAAACAATAGACAATTTGGAGCCTGTTTGTTGATATCAAACAATCGAATACTAAGAAAACTTGGTTTTATTGGTTTACTTGGATTTAATTCTTGAAAAAGTGATTGATATCTTTGGTTTTGCAACAAACATTACTTATTCTTAACATTAAGGTGAGGTTCTATCAATAATCTATGGATACTTCACCTGAAGTCGCCGCCCAAGCTGTGGCACTTATTCAGGCCGGACACAGCCAAAGAAACGTGAGTGCTCAACTTAATTTAAGTCGATCTGCGGTCCGAAATGTTTATCGGAGGTACCTAGACACTGGCGGCTTTGTTCGTCGCCAAGGAAGGCCACGATCTCGGGTCACAACTGAAAGGCAGGATCGATTCATTGTGACGACCAGCTTGAGAAATCGTCACCTTACCTCCATTGAGATACAAAAACAAATTCGCGACTTCCACGGAGTATCTGTGAGCGCTCGAACTGTTCGGAGAAGGTTAAAAGAACGCGATATGGTACCACACAAGCCAGCTAATGGGCCCAAACTAACGCGAGCCCACCGAACAGCGCGCCTTCATCTCGCACGCAGTCATTTAAATTGGACACAGCAAGATTGGAGCCGTGTAATCTTTTCTGATGAGTCTAAAATTGTGTTACATGGCAATGATGGAAGGAAGAAGGTCTACCGACGTAAGAGAGAGCGTTTCGCACAATGCTGCTTTGAAGAGAGGGTTGCTTATGCCGGTGGCTCATGGACTGTCTGGGGCGGTATATCCGCGAGCCGCAAAACTCAACTTGAGGTTGCTACAGGACCACGGCTGCCAACATTAAATGCTGAAAGGTACATTCGTGAGTGCTTAGAACCTCACGTGATACCATACGCGGACTATGTGGGCCCAAATTTCCTTTTTATGCATGATAATGCAAGAGCCCATGCGGCCGGCATCGTCAAGGAATATCTTCGGGATGTGAACATAACAGTTATGGACTGGCCAGCCAGAAGCCCAGACATGAACCCCATTGAGCACATGTGGGACGAGCTAAAAAGACGTGTTAGGGCTCGTCAGCCAGTTGCCCAGACGATGCAGGGGTTGAAAACTGCCATAGAAGAGGAATGGGAGATGATCCCTCAAAATTTCATAGAGCGGTTGATAAACTCTATGCCTAATCGTATGAGAGCTGTGGTAGATGCCCATGGAGGCAACACGCGTTATTAAATTAAACCTTTATTTGAAAAACATGTTTTTTATTCAAAAATCAATTGCCTTTAACAAGGCGCATATCCGACTTGTTAGGCGTAGCTCCATGTCGTATGGTATTCTGAATTCAAATTTAAAACAATACGATCGAAATAGATGGTAAAATGTATCAGGTTTAAAACTGCATCAACAGTTTTTGTTCAATCTAGCAATCATATTTCGGTAGGGGCCATCCAAACCTAAACTCTAAGATGGGCCAATAGATGTGTCCAGAAGTGTATAAGCCACAACAATAAACCAATAAACAACAACAATGTAATTAAAGTACATTGTTGTTGTTTATTGTATTTTTATTACTTGAAAGAATTTTAAATTGTCATAAAAAAATTAAAATCCATAATTATTTTAAGTGAATTATAAGTAATTTACAAATGATTAATATTTTGTATTCAGTAATTTATTAATACGTTGATTTTTTTAAATATAAAGTAATCTCAATAAATAACAAACATCGTTTTATTTTAATTTATATAATTATATAACATATTTAATAATGACAAACACATTATGCAGTGATTTTACAAAATAAAAAATATTTCCTAAAGACATCTACCAAAACGTTTCCAGCCTAGGCCTAGTAGGATCCATATCGGAAAGTAGTGTGCGTCATACGCGTCATGGCTTTTCTTCATTGCCACAACGCGTTGAGATCGAATAGCATGTCAGCCACGACACGAATTTCGCTATTTGGTCTTTCTGTGATTGCCACAACGCGTCCTGCGCGTTTTCATTAGAGCCATAAGACGAATTTCGCCATGTGGATGTTTTACTGTGACCACAACGCGTTGTGAGCTATTTTTCCGCTCACTGAGCGTTTTCGATCTTTGAGCGTAACATATCCACCTTTTTATGGAGTCACAACATACATTAATAAGAATAAAATAAATAAATAATGTATGAAACAAAAAAACTTGTCGAATAGTCTATTATTTTGTTCTAAACTAAACAGCTTGTACCATGAAAAATAAATAATGAAAGCTTTTATACGACTCGGGTACAAATCTTTGTACTTAAAGCAATAATGAATTCCCCCTACCTTTAGAACGGAAGGCAGGTGCGTTGCCATTAAAGAATTATACTGCCTTGTTTTCACACGACTGCCCAAAAAAAGAGTGTAATTTATACAGGGTTCTAAACGCCTGAACCGATTTAGATGTGAGTGGTATCGTTAGAAGCTTTTCAACTTCCGGGGTTACATATAATTCCTAAACTGTTAAAATTAAAATAACAGCAATTATTAATGTTAATAAAAAAGTCTTCTTATTATTACAATATAGTTATCATTTCAAAGGCCTTAATGTGACCATATAAAATATATACAAATATAGTAGAATTAATTCATTTTTTAACAACCGTCGTGTTTTTTATTTTTTTTTTATTATTTAAATACGCTCTTTTGGTGTTTTATAAGTAAGTGATAGAAAAAAGTAAACAAAGTTCTAACTTGGCTTAAAGGAATTTAACCCGTATTCCTATTATGTTACTGACTAAGATTCAAAATAGATTTCATGATATTACAGATTGATTATAACGATGATTGCTATTAAAATATATTATTAGGTGCAATATTTCTATCACAAAGGACGTGATATAATAAAGATAAGATAATGTTTTACCAAAATTAGAACACTGACGCCTTTTGTTAGAAATTTACATAATATTTACATTGAAAATAGATTCATCAAATACTGTATTACATATAGACAGACATGCATGAATACTGTACAATTATATATTTCTTATCATGAGGGATGCCCTTATGTTGTTCATCAAAGTTATAGTTTCAGATGCCAAATAACTTTTATTTGGCATCTGAAACTATAACTTTGATGAAATTACAACAACAACAACAAACAAAGAATGTGAAATTACAAGAAGAATTCTAAAGATCAAATTGAATTTAAGAAAATGTAAATAAACCCGGTCATTTGGCAAACTGAATGAATATTTAGCGACTAAAATCATACTTTATTAAATATCACATTACCAGAGCTATTAAATATCAATTTCGTAATTTATTCGATTCATTATTATTGGTTAAAATTATATGAGTATATAGCGCACACCCGCCGTGCTGATCGCATTTTATGTTTTACTTTGTATTGCATCAATTAAACAAATTAATTGTTATTATTACGTTATACAGGCACGGGCAATTTCACATAATCTCGGGTAAACATATCTTTATCAGTACTTGTAGCACTGCGAAAAATAATAAATATTGGCATTAATTGCAGTTCATGTAAGTTATGCTTTAAATTTAAACGACTTAGAAGAAAGCTTAGTTGAAACAGTTTACCTTGCAGCGGTTCTAATGTGTCCATAAAATCATCAAGATTCGGCTGCAGAGGCCCTAGACTCGGCTGAATGAAATCAGCTAAGCTCGCGCCCCTCGCTGTAAATTGACATACAAGAAAATATCCCAAATTAATAAAATTGTCGAACACTCAAATTATACTCGTTGCAAACTTTATTAAAATAAATATTATCGGCATACATATAATCGCCGATCGCAATAATAATAATGGTGGGGCCAATTAATCAATCAATTTTGTATGTTAAAGTGTTACGCAATAAACATTATTTGTGTTGGCCAATATCATATCCGTAAACATGGAGCATATAATTTTATGCGTACTATAAATCGAATTAAAAATTCGTTAATTGGTTAGGTACCTACTCATGAGATTTTGACATACATTCAAAACTGATATTACAGCCTCACATAAACAACCTGAATAAACGGTCCCAATCTCATGTTGTTTCACATTGTCTCTCACAACATTAGAAATCGGTCATTCAAACTTTTATATTTTCATGAAATCTTTAAAAGATTTTCCTATGTAAAACCTTAGTATACAATATTTCTTAATTGTATACACACCGGCACTACACTTGGCTATTCGTGTTTGCTATTTGTAAACTTGAGTTCAGTCAGTCCATTTCATTCCTTAAAAAGCATGATAAGGACAGCCCATTGACATCTTCACAAATAGCAAATACGAATAGCCAAGTGAAGTGGAGGCAAAAAATAAACCAATAAGACATCAACCTTCATCATCATTCGTATATTATTTCCTCACTACTGAAGAACTGCCCATGACCCACCACACGGGCCCAATGCGGGTCGACTGGTTCTAGCGACTAGACATGAATCCGGAACCAAAGGCATAACCTGCCTTTCAAACGAAGAGCTCGAGATTTATATAATTTTTAATCACCCATTCGGTGACCGACTACTGCGAAAGTTGCTTAACTCCACGATTGCAGACCACGCTAACCACTGCGCCACTGCGCACTACTCAGAGTCAGTAAAACATACTCCATAAAAGCATTAATATTATAATATTCTATTAAAAAAATAATACATATTACGATTAGAAACTTTGAGGTTCTCCTGATTCAATACTTTAACTTGTTATTACTATAAGGCTAAGTTCATATAACAACAACAGCTATTATCGTCAACATGACATCATGGTCAAATGAACTTACCCTTATACAAACATACATCTGGGCATCAATCTTATACGGTCAGCCTTTGCTGCTGAGGCACTGGCCTCCAGACATAGTCACATCAGCATAACATTTCAATTTTGTTATGGTAAATACTAACCAATCTCCCTGCAATCGGGAAAGGCGAAAGGCTGGTGGTTAGTGATAGTCGTGAACAGTGTGTCACTCATAAAGTTCAGGTAGTCTTCATCCGTGAGCATGTTTTCCGCCAAGTCGCTGCATTGCGAGAACGACAAAACAGTGTCCATATCTGAGATCTGTACAAAGCGAATAGCCAATTGTAAAACAATAAGGACCCTTCGTAGACCATAAAAAATAGGGGTTGGTGGTAGAAGGGTGAAATTTTAGGGTTGTATGTATTTTTGTATGATTTATCTTAAAAAAATAAACACAAAAAAAATGTTCAAAAAAATTAATTAATTACCCTTAAAATTTAGGGGGATGAAAAATAGATGTTGTCCGATTCTCAGACCTACTGAAAATCGGTCGAGCCGTTTCGGAGTAGTTCAATTACGCACACAGTGACACGAGAATTTTATATATTAGATATGGCATGTCTACTAATAAAAAAAGATTCCAACTAATTCAAAACCTCCTCCGTTGGAAAAATCGAATAAAAAACGATCAAGCGCGATTGAACTCTGTCAAGTGACATTGTAGTTTCACTAAAGTCCTGGAACTAATAGAAATCACGTTTCTTGTATAAGGTATCGCTTTTTATTATGACAACAGCGTCTGGTACATATGTAGGCAAAAAAAAAAATAATAGGTCAATTTATAAAAGATTATATACATTTAATTTCAGTGGCGGCCCATCACAAAGATAGGTAGTTGACATAAACAGATATGTGGGTCAAAACTGGAGGCTTTAGTTACATAAACGAAGAAGATGGAAGGAATTGCAGGAAGCGTATGTCTAGAATTGGACAACGAATGGCTGAAGATGATGAGATTTAATTTTAATAAGAATACGTATTCTGTACAAATTTCAACTGTCTGTTTAATGAGAAACAGCGCTCAGTCAGGCGGAACGACAGTGATGGGTTAGTAATATGGTTACGTTTAATCACTCTCAGCATTAAACACTCTCAATTTTTAGGTGGTGTCATTTTCTCAAAGCAACAACAATAAAAGATAGAAGATACCAAACACCGAGCCCTGATAGATTTCAACTGTATTTGCAGTATTCTGATTTTGTTGCGCTTTCACTTATGTCAGCTAATGAAGTTTTAGATTTTTTTGTAATAGAATAAATGACAATGAAGCACTTTTATCAAAATTTTTACATCATTCTTGACATCTCAAAGTCTTTTCAAACTCTTTTTAAGTTCCATGGTTTCATTAAATAAAAATATTGACGTAAGTGAAAATATTAATGAAACTACTAATAATGCTCGGTTAATTTTAAAACCGTGTATTATATTATTTAAATAGATCTATTTAATGCAACTTACGTTGTCCTGTACCGCGGTATCCCCCTTGCCGAGGAGCCGCATTATATGAAACATGCGCCATTTTTTATATTCTGCTATTACTGCTTCGGCTCTTCTTTTCCAATATTTACCTTCCAATATGGTTGTCTGTAACATAAGTTGGTGATATAATAGGTATTTTTCAGACTAAATACATTACTTCAACTAGTACTTAATTACCATTATAATTTATTAAGCACTCTGGCAGACAACCGTTTTTTATCAGTCTGACCAGTTATTAAGTTTGGTTGGTACTGATTTTATGATATCAAATCAGTTACTGACTACAAAATGCACTGCGGCGACATATATCAACGGGGCAACCCAGACACAAGACGTCCTTAATTCAAAAAATTATGCCAGTTTTGTATTTTTTTTTTATAAATACACTTAACGAAAATTATACTGGAAAAAAATCACTCCCGGTATCAGACGGTGTTAGAATCATAGCTACCTGTCTGACACCTGGAAAAGGAGAGATATTTTTTTTCTACTGCAATTTTCTTTATCAGTTTCTATTGATTAAATTTTTGAAAGATTATATCTAACCATGTTTAGTTTATTTGGTTGTCTGTACATTCTCTTATTTGTTAACAATCAAGAATTAAAATATTTTTATTGCAGTAGAGGATAAAGCAGGAAACGCGAGCGTAACTAAGCTGATTATAGTCGAGCTTAAATTGCAAAAAAAACATTTACAGCATTATAAATAAATAAAAATAAAATTCATTTATTTCGAGCAACATAACTCATAATCATAATAACAATACATAATCAATTATTATAGAAATAGGCACATGTCACTAAAAAAAATACACCTAATCATTTATTTAATTTAATACATTACTTAATTTAAATTTAATAATTTTCATCAAATAAAATAATTAAAAATCAAAGGTCAAGTTAGGTTAGGTTAGGTATACTACCACGGATTTATTATTATGTCAAGAGACTTCAAACAACACATCATATATAAGTAAGTGCAGAGCAGTACTGGTACTTATTTAGGTACAAGTAAGGGATTATGAAAATCTTTTTTTGCTTCATCTATCAGGTAGCTTATCGAAAATTATTGGACACGAATTTTTTTTGACGTGACAACTTCTTAAATTAGGTTGCGGCTGGGAGTCACTTATGAAAAAGTGTAACGCTCGGTAACGTTACGATGAGTCTCTCGTGTTAAGTTTAAGTTTACATGTACAATGTTTTAGTAAACAAAATATATTTCTATAGTTAAAATTTGTGCAATTCTTATTTTCATTCAATTCCTTGTTCCTATTGTGCAATTTAATTATATTCATATCAATAAATATTCTACCGAGAAAAAGACGTTGTCACGTAAAATCTTCGCCCGTAAAACCGACTTTACAGGCAACCATTTTTTTTTTTTACATAATAATCAAAGAGAAATTGATTTGAAATGTCGCAAATCGTCGTCGTCTTGGTACAATTTTTACTTAGAAGTGACGTCACGAGCCCCCACTCCCAAACTTTAACGCGCTTTGCCTTTGTAATTTTTTGGTTGATTGACAAGAACTAAATAAAATTCCGTTCACTTTACCCCGTCTTCATCCCTATTAATTAAGTATTTTTCTAATATGACTATCAATAATATGGCATGGTAAATGCAAAATTGAACAAAAACCTTTTTTTTTATTTATTAAGTGTTCTCACCTCTGGTTTCACGTGAGTGTCGACATCCAACGGCGACGCGAACTGGCACACCAAAGTATTTTGCTTCTTTATAACTGAAAAAAATGTGACTAGTTAGTTACTGTGAACTACAAATACCTACGTATATTCTTAAAATAATCATATTGATTATATGTGCATAGACCTTAACCTATGACTCGTGATATGGCATGGAAAGATAAAAAAAAATCATCTCCAACCACCATCTTTATACAAATTGTCAGCTTAATTTTAACTACGTACGAGTACTAAATAAACAAAATAAAATTTAAGGAACTTTTACGATGAACCTGTATGATTGCTATTGGTATTTGCAATAGGTCATACTGATCATAAAATAAGAAAGAGATTAAACATTATATCTTATAATAATATTGATTCCGCTTGAGAAATTAAATATTCAAAATTGTCTTCGATTGCGATTATAATTAAACATAACAAATATATCTTTATTCTCACACCAATTAGCCCAGCACCAAAAAAGTACTTTAAGAGTTGTGTAACAGATACTAGTGAAACAGATAAAAATACATAATAATGATGATAATTACATATATTTTTTGTAGAAATATATTTGTTTCTTAGGTTTTCACGCACATCACTCACTAAATAAAACTAGTTTTTTTTTTAGAAATATAGCTATATTCCATAAAATGTAGTGAAGCCTGTCGTTGTTGTAGATTGTTGAAGTTCAGCAGCTATCGCAGTGGGGGGTCATTGGAAGGATGGGCAAAAATTTACTACCTCGACCTCCTTCATGCTCCGGAAGGCATGTCAAGCCGTTAGTCCTGGCTGAATCTGCAGTCGTTAGCACCCACCAAACCGCACTGAGCCCGCATAATAGGTCATGGCCCAATCTCGCTATTCCATTCATAGGGAGGACCAGTGCTCCAGCAGTGAGAACATTAATAGGCTGATGATGATGATGATTCTATAGAATGAAAAAGCTTTGGGTACAAAGGAGAATAACCATTTTGGTACTGATCCTGTACAAACATATTTTTTTTATATTTTGTTAAGCATTAAAAAGTAAGTAATATAAGAAAAAAGTACTTTTTTAGCTAGTGGTGAAACAAAAAATAGTATTAAACTTTTAACGTATAAAGGAACGTAGTTTGCTATTATATTGGAAACAAATGATTTAACTAATCGCGAGTTTAATGTTTTATTTAAGTACTGTTTAAATTACTTAAATAACTAGTGTTTTTAACCTTAAGACATTTTAAGAAAAAAATCACATAATATGGAGTTTTTTTAACTCCAAATGTTAGACAAAATATTACGTTATTAATAAAATATAACATCGATTACCTTTTCGTTTTTTAAATGGTCACGTAACTAACGTCACATGATAACTTATAATGACAGTGTTTGTCAGTGGTCTGTGATTATAACATTGGCAATTGTAATTGTCATTTCGCTTGCGATGACAATGTTTTTTGTGTTTTACCGATGGTTTCTTTGATTTTGTGATATTTTTCTACAATTTCGTTAAGACGACTAGATTTTCGATAAAGACCGACTTTGATTTCTATTGAACAACGGCGTGACTACCAACATTCATCTTAATAAATTGATTTTAAAAATCACCATGCTCTAAAGTGACTTGTATTATTAATTAAACATTAAAACAGTGAAAGTGTGTTTTGTTAATGAATATCTCTTTAACTTCCATGATATGGAGAGGTAAAAGTGTCGTATTTCGTGGGTATGGGTTGTCATCAGTTCACACATGGTCTGTGTGACCACCCACCTTGATATATGCTTACCAAATCTAAGATTCTTACTACTATTACTAACTACTAATTTTAGTAACGTAATTTTTTTGTTGTGAACCAAAAAAGTTTGTCACCAAAATGTAATATAGCTGCAGCCACATTTAATAATATACTTCTGAGAGAAAATATAAAACGGAAGAAATGTATGAATAAGTGAATAAAATAATTAATTTTCTTTTATTGGCCCTTAGTATATTATTGTAATAATTTCTGATGAATTATTAAAAATATAATCAGCTTCACTATTCATCTGGTCAACCATTCTTATGTTAATTGTAGGTATATGTGTAAGCGTGCTTGCTGTTATTGAATATTTTTGATTGCTGTCTTTGTAGACATTTAGTTGATCCAAATTAATTACATAATTATGTTTATTATGTAGATTACACCAGGAAAACCCTTTATATACTTAAAAAAAATATTTTTAATTAAAACCGAATCGCAATATCTTATTAACCCAACTAGCTATCGAATTCAATTAAAGACTGGCAGTGTACATTAACAATAAGCTTTACAATGGTATATATTTTGCTCATGTACAAAGAACTTGGTATCTGTACCAAAACCCCATACAAAGTAGATTCTCCTTTCTCGTATTGATCATACAAACATATGCCCCACCGGGGTTCGAACCCAGGACCTCTGTGAAAGCGACACCTTGAAAACCGATGTACATACACATCGGGGGTCTCCTTCCACCTCGAGGGTATCAAAATAATAATAAGTGCGATGGATATCCATGTTCAATATAAAAGATTATGAAAAATAAAAACGAAGTTTGGAAAATTTTGACATAAGTTATCAACAGTCATCATTTCGTATAAAACAAAGTTCCGATCCGAAATACTCCAAACGGATTTTTTTTCAGTGCACTGCGAAATTCTTAGTTCTTTACATGGTCATTTTCTATGTCTACCTATCCTCCCCAGTCTGATCTGGTAATGTACTATCAATGTCCCCACCGCTTGGGCACAGCCCTTGGCTATGAATAGGAAGAACTGGCCCTACCCACCATCTCGATTGGGAATCTTATTTCAGTCTAAATAAATCTCAGTCAGTAACTTGACCTACGGCTGTCTGATTTATACAAACAATCGAGTTCAATAAAATGTGGTTACTACTAAACGTATCTTCTGGTTACTACTTAATCGTACCCATATACGGTACGATTCATCCTTTCGATCAATCTGACGGAAATCGTAACAATCGATCGTTGCAAAAATGCCACTCCATACACGAAATGATTGGTCGCAGCGATCGGCTATTTACTTGTTTAAAACGGAAGGTTACAGACGTGGTGAAATAATTTCATACGTGCCCTGTTCAATTCCCTTACTGCCTTTAATTATAATAATATATTTTATATTATTAATTTGATATATAATTCCATGACAGTAACTTAGATTCGGCTACAAAAGAAAAAAAACCTAGAAAAATGTGGGTTAAGAAATGGATATTAAAGCGAAATCAGTATTCATATGTAAATATTAACTCGCTAGCCAAGTAAAGTGCGGGGGCTGGAGTCAGAATTAGACTAAATCAAATCGTTGGTCGTAAAGAGCGACAAACAGTCGATTTATTACGATATTCATGATTGCATGGGTTTGTGATGCAATTTCCGAGATCGTCTTCGATAAAGTAAATCTTTAGCGATCTTGACATACACTATCGATTCGTCATTTCGATCGCTCTGAAACGTCAGATCGTAAAGATCAATCGTACCGTCTATGGGGCCTTTTAGAGTACGTAGATACAGTCAGTGCTATGATTTAGGACCCATTCCCTCGAAATGTGGTTTAAACCAAAGATTCAAATCTTTGGTGTGAACATTCACATCGCAATAACGTCGAAATTATCAATCAATACAGCGTTGAAACATCATTAATGGTTTCGAATTTAATGTAATTTCTGAATATTAACCTCCTTGCGAAGAATATCATTTCGTCTTTCTAAATTTTTTCTATAAAATTAAATCAGTGTTGTACATGGAAATTTTATTGAGAATTTAAGAGAATGTTAGCAAAATCACATGTTTTATTGAAATCTTCCAATTTTTCTGTAATTAATAATTCTAATATATTTTTCTTCTTTAAATCCATGCCATAAGCTTTCGAAGCTCGCAAAATATTGTAAATGTCACAACTTGTTTAAAAAAATAGGTAAGCCCATGTTTAATCATGGCTGAGTGATGAATAAAAAAATATTCTCACATGCACCTTTATTGCTAAGCTTTGTTGTGTATGTTCAATATTTATGACCAAAAGTGTTCACATATTATTGTACTCGACTGTATCTACGTAGATATAATCTACAAGGACAAGCAATCATTGAAGATTTCCACTCTCATGGTCACAAAACAGATATTACGATATAATGTCGTTGGGTATTTTTTTATTGGAAAAAATATAATATTAAATTCTGATAGGTATTATCAAGCGGTTAACGCTAAAGATGTGTTAAATTATTATGAGGCTGTTATCTGAACGTATCGCCTCATAATAAAATAAATTCGCAGGGATATAATGGCAATTAGAAAATATGGAAGAAGCTATAAACTATTAGAAACAAAGTGCCTAATCTACCATTACGCAACCCCAACTGTCCAACATGGGCCAACATGGGGGTGTAATGAAGCTCTATATACCGGTTTCCAACTGGCAGAAACCGTTCATTGACTTCTTGTGGAGTTATCTATAAGTATATTACGTTTCGTTCGATAAAACAACCTTTAAGCGCCAACGGTCGATTGATCGCGATCACGCCAGCGGCGCGTGATCACCTCACAAGTTCGGCACTCGTGAACAACGCGACTAAACAAATTTCTAATAACACGTGTTCACTATAATTAACATACAACGACCACTGTCTTAGAGATTAAGTTAATATAAATATCGGAATGACGAATTTATATCTATTTTATAAACTAAAGTTTTACTTACTACCGTGGTGATATTTTAAATTTTAAATAGAAAAGTATTATAAGAATGCGTTTAAAATATCTTAAATGAATACATTGCATATTACCACCAATCGTCCGTAATTCATAACAACTACACTTCATTCAGTTAACATTAAAAAAAATAAACTATAAGTAGCAAGGTTTCCAAACCTTTTCATGTCATGTATAATGATGAAATGTAATAATTATATTCGATATTAACTATATTATGTATTAACAGATACTGATATCTGTAGAGTATTTTATTTATTAATAGTTGACCCCGCGTATTTTGTACGGCTTAAAATAATTTGGAAGAATTGACGGACCTGAGTCTACC